AACCGACAAACACACACAGAAAAAAAACAAAAACAACAAAGAGGCGAGAGCAAAGCATAGCGTGCGCTAAAGAGCAGGCCAAAAGTAAAATTACAAAAGCACAGCGACTATATCACGTGCTGCGACGGACAAGGGCGAAGGGGACGATGGGAGGGACGTGTGCCGGCCTTTGGCGGCAGCGCTGCTGGCGGCGCAGTCACCATGTTAGGCGGACGGAGGCAGAAGCCAAGAAAGACGGAACGGAAGGGAAAAACGACGGAGAGACAGACAAAAAGCGACAGAGCGACTGTTTCGTATAGAAAGAGAGTAGGCAACAGAGACGGCGATGAGCCAATCAAAACAAAATGCGAATGAACTGAGAAGAAGCAACAACAACAAAATGAAGATTAAAACAAATATAAAAATATAAAAGTATTTATAGGGGTTTTAAAAATATGAGAGAAATTTGGTTTTGCCTTGCGTTTCGTGGTTTGTTTACTATAATTTGTGAAGATGAAATATGAATTAAGTTAAAATTAAATTAAAACAAAAATTAAACAAAAATATTAGATAAAATAGGTCACTACAATTTTTTTAATTTAATTTTTAGACTTGTTGGGAAGAGTATCAATACCCTTATAAACATTTTTATAAATATCTGAGGTCAAGAAATAATATAAGAAGTTTAAAGGTAAACAATTATTTTGGCCGGCGCTTTTCACTAAGAGGGTTTTAGATATTTTTGTTGCTGGTTGGGCAGTCTTTCTGATGTGGTCAGTTGTAGTTGTTGGTTGGGTGGTCGTTCATCAAAAGTGAGAGATTAAGAGTTTCGCAGCGACGGACGGGTACGGGAGAAAATCGGCGAAACAAAGCAAAGTAAAGCGAAATGAAATAAAGAAAAGAGGAAAGGCGAATGGCGGCGACAACAACAACATTACGGCGACAAGTACGAGACACGTATTATGCATGGCATGTAGTAAAAGCCGACGAGTGCTGGTATACATGTAGGTGTATCTGTGTGCTTAGGCTTGTGTATTGGAGATTCGCATGATTCGTGCAAATTCGCCGCATAGTTGTTGCTGCTATTTTATTCGCATTCGCATATCGTAGTGCGCGCCTTTGGCTTTTGCCTTTTGTTTGTCTGTATCTGAGAGTTTGTTTGCCTGCCTGCCTGCCTGCCAGCCTGTGTGTGTAAGCGTAAGCGAGCTGGCTCGTGTGTTTGTGTGAGAGTTGGGGTCGTCGTCGTTCATATGTTTGCCTTGCTTGCTGTTGTTGTTCTTGTCCCGTGTTGTTTGGTCGGTTTTGATTCGGTTTTTTGGGATGGATGATACGTATTATGGTCGCGCAGCGTCGCTGCTGGTCTCTGGCCAGAGCTCCCTCTGCTGCCGTCGACGTCGCTGCCACCACACAGCTTTTCCATCCATCGTTCGGTTCTCGTTCGCAATCGCCCGTCATCAACTCCTCCCCACGTCTTTCTCCACCGCTCTCTTTCTCCCAACAGTTGTCGCTCTTTTCGATTTGGCCACAGTGGGTGGCACAAAGAATCTCAAAGTTGTTGAAACTTGTGCATTATTTATTTGCGTTACAATAATAAAAAATAAAAAAAATAAAACGAATGAAACTTTTATTAAAAAAAAAAAATGGATTTTTTTTATTATGACAGAATAACAAATTCAGAATCAGTATGGAATAAATTTATTTATTCAGTTCCACTGTAGCTTGATTCAGTTTTCTGTCCGCTATTAATGTTGCTTCTGTTCTCCTCCTCATTTGCACGTCACACGTAGTTATTTTTTCTTTTCCTTTTATTACTTAAATTTTTCGCCGCAGCTCCTACAATAACAACAAAAATAAACAAAAAACAACTATAAGCAATGAGTGGAGCTGCCCCCACTCGCCTTAACTTTGGCTTTATTCGCATATTAACGAGTGGGGGAGGAAAGGAGATGGCGAGAGCTTGGAGTTTACGGCCCAGGGGAGGAAGAGAAAGAGGGAGAATGAACAGGGAGGCGTGTGACGTTTTTCGCTGCTTCTTCCACCAAAAAGAGTTGATTGAAATTATTTCGTTTGGCGTTTGCGTGTGCTTGTGTTTGTGAGGTTTTTCGCTCAATTCATTGTCCGTCTGTGTGCGTGTCTCGTCTCTGTCTCGCTGTACGCGTGTGTTTGTGTACGTGTGTATCTGCTTTCGGTTAAAGATACATAATTATTTCTAAAAAGCATTTTCTGCCTTTCCATTGTTGTAAATCGCTCGCATTTTCACATGTCTCACTGAAATTTGGTGCTTAACAAAATCAAAATGCATTCGTATTAATTACTCACCATTTTTCCTATATTATTTTCGTGATTCCTCACTCTCGGCTAATCCATATTTGCCTATATCTCGTGCTCGCTGGTTCTCACAATTTACAGTTCATTTTGTACTAGTTTTTACCGTTTTCGGGTTTCTGTTTTTTGTTACCGATTTGTATTTGTGTTTGATTTTTCTTTTCGGTCACGCAATCGATAGTTAGGCGAAGCGCGATTCGCAGGAGAATGACAGATGATGGCGAGAATGACAAACAAACGGGCAACCACAATGCTAATTCAAGTATAGATACACACATGCGAAATAATAATTGTAGCACAATTGCCACAGCTAGCAACCAAGAAGAAGACGAAGAAACAGCTCTGGAAGAGAAGAGGAAGCAAATGGGCGAAGAAAAAAAATACAAAAGCGCAACGATTGCAATTGCAATTGGCGAGGCTGTTGCTTCTTCTTCTTGGCCAACGCCGCCGACTCTCTCTCACACTCACACTAATGTACCATAATTACAATTAAACATGATATACGCGCACGTAGTTTTTCAGCCGAAAAGAAACAAAGAAATCGATAGATATTGCTGGAAGTCAGTGGAAATCTCTGCTGCTGCTTCTTCTTTGTAATTGCAGGAGTGAAGCAAGAAAAAAGGCCGCAGATGAGGAGAAAAGGCAGAAAAAAAAATTGTTACAGCCGCCGAGTGGCTGAAGAAGAAGCAGAGACGCACAACAGACGACGCGACGCGACATCGAGAGCGGCGACAAGCGCATGAATTTTACGCTCTCCCATCAATTGTGTGTTGAGAGCGAGAGCAAAGAGTAGCGGAAGACAGGAGTGGGAGAGTGGTGTGCCCGGCTAGAAAAACGTGTGTCCATGCAATGCCGCTTTGCCAGTGTGTATGGGTGCGAGTGAGGCAGCGTGCGAATGAGTGGAGATGGGAGTGGGGCAGAGGAAGGCAGACAGATGAGTTGACACAGCGGGGCTGAGGCAGAGCAAAAGCAATCAAAGAGGGATACCGTTGCATATGTTGTGCACTGTATCTATGTGAGTGGCGATATCGAGATATCGATGGGGCACAGGGAACACTGAACAGAGACCACCACAGTGGAGCCTGGCCAAGTGCCATCTATTAAACGAAAAGGGGAGCGAATATTCGGCTTCAATTTACTTCACTGAAAACATCTGCAGACACACTTAATAAAAAAAAAAAACTATTTATAACTTCCATGAAAAACAACAACATAAATAATTCCCTTTATTAAAAAAAAAAAAACAAACAAAAATAATTATAATTGCAAGAGATAAAAATAATCCATTATTTGAATTTGTAAAAGTTCGTGTTGCTAAAGTTCCACCGCTCTTAAAAAAGAGATTCAACTTTAAAGAGTGGCACCGTTTAAGTGTGTGAAAGAGGTCAGGCATTTAAAACCCAGCATCAACTTTTATTATAGTTTCTGCTTTAAATTTAAAGAAAACTTCAATTCCATTCCGACTTTCCGAGTTTCGCACTCGCATTTGCCTTGAAACTAAGCCCAACTTGAGCTCTTGAATAAAATCTTCCGTTTAAGATACTTGCAATTAAAAAACTCTTGCCGTGAATGTAGTACTCCTCGGAGCTGAGAATAAATTTAATTGCAATACATTTTAGCACACAAATTGCACTTCGATTTCTCTCGTTCCCGTTCCGTTGCAACAATAACAAAATATGAATAGAGGCAGCGAGAGGCAAATGCAAAGAAGCAGAGCGGTAACAGCGACGCCGGCAGAGCAACTGTAGCCAATGGCCATTATGGCATATGGACAAACGCGGGGGTGTGAATGGATGAGGAGGATGAGGACGCAACGGGGGGCAACGCAGATTGTCTCCTCTGCACAGGTGCAAAATGTGCGACGCCGCTGCTGCTGCGGCTGCATCTCCCGAATAATGTTGGCAACACTGCAGCAGCGGGGCACCAATACATACACAAAATTTATGCGAAGCGCGATACACGAAAAAAAAGAAAAAGAAATGAAGCAAAGTGAAACACAAACACACAATTTGTTGGTTTTGCGATTTGTGGGGAGTTTATAAAGAAAATGGCGAGCAGAAGTTGAAGAAAAGAAATCAACTGCAAAACGTACAGAAAAAAGAGCAGGCAATAATCAGCGCGATGATTACAATCAAACAAACATCATAATGAGCATCGCTCACACACACACTCGCACGCACTCTCGCATACTCGCCGCCGATGAGGTCCATTTTTAATTACATATATTAGACCGACCGCTCCACATTTTTTCATTTGATTTTCGATGTTCTTCGCCAATTTCGCCATTAATTAATCACATATACACACACGGACACATGCACGCCACGGGAGAAATGCACTTGGCAGTTGGCGGAAGGGAAAAACAATTGAAAATTGGACATTGGCTGCTGCTTGCTTTTGCAGCATTTCTTCGTCGCCTCGCGAAATACATATTTCTTTTGCTTTGCCGTTTTTCTCGTCTCGTCTCGTCGCTTGTCTTCGGCGCTCTCTTTTCTCTCGCTCTCTCCTTCTTTTTGCTCTCTTCTTCTTTGCACATTTTTTCTTTTCAAGTGTCTCGGCTCCGGGGCCGCTTTTGAAAAACCATTTTTCGCTTAAAATACGCTCAATTTCGATATGCTTTTGCTTCGCTTTAGTTGCCGGCAACCTTGCGAGCGTTTTTCCGCAACTTTTCGCAATTGATTTGCACTTTTAATTACCGTTCAACGCAAAATTCTAGACCAGCACTTTTTTCAACGACAATTTTTTTCCAACACCTCCATTTTGTTTTGTTGTTGTGCAGTGTGCCCGGCAGGGAACCCGTTTATAAACGGCAATTCACAGGAAAAGGGAGGGTATTTTTTCATAAGAGAAAAATGGTCACACCTAAATTGGGTAAAGCGTTGTAAAACTACGTAAGTGTATGAAAAGTATCAGTTTTGGACGCAAGTAAAAACAACGCAACAATTTTAAATTTATGTGAACAAAAACTTGATCGTTTTTATTAAAAACTTTTCAACGTGTGTACCCTCCACTTAAATTTTTCACACTTCAGAAACAACGTAATGAGCATAACTGGTATACTCCATGGTTGAAAACCTGGCTATTTTGAGAAAGCAGTACAGAACTGCTGTACTTAACTGCTTTACCGACCGTTTTAATATCGATGTTTCGATTGTTGAGACTATCAAGCGCCAAGCCGAAAATTTTAAATTTGTGTCTCGTTTTACGCGGTTTTCAGTCTTTTATTCGCCGGCTTGTTTTCTTCTTCCTCGTTATTTTCTCCATTAGCTCCATCACTCTCCTCATCCAACTCCTCCTCCTTCGGACATCCCTCCATTTCGTCGTCCTGCGAGTCGCCCTGGTTGTCATCCGAGCTGTCTGAGAAGACAATGGGTCCGCCGCCTTTCACGAACATGATGGTCTTGCCCAGGCGTCGCGACTCGGCCCTCAGGAAGAGCTGCCGGCAGTGGCGGTCCACAGCATTCTTGCCTTGATCCTCCGACAGGCCGAAGATGAAGGCTCTAAGAAAGCACAAGGAATTCGAGTAACCCAGAGATTGTAACTTTTTCGTTGTCTTACAGATTGGCCACATCGTAGGGTCCCCGCAGTTGGAACTGGTGCTCCGCTCCGCTGCTGAAGATGATGTTCCGGGACTTTCCCTTGATGCCATAATTGTGGGCCACCTTGATCATGTCCTTCCTGTTGTTCGAATCGGCTATCGCGGGCCCGTACTTGATTTCGAAGAACATGCCACGTCGCACGGCCACCTGGTAGGCCTTCCGATTGACCATAAGCCGTGATCCTGCCGCAGGATCGAAGGTTACCAGGTCACCGTTGAAGGTGGTGCAGCAGTGCTAAACACACACAAATTAGTCGAGAATTTCCGCGAGAAAGGGTGAGCAAAGGACTTACGGTCAAGGCGGCATCCGTCTTGGGCTGGCCAGCAATCAGATTGAACTTGCGCAGGTTCAGGGAGACGCTCTGGAAAGATGAGAAACCTTTAAGAAGTACAGGACAAGGTGCCTGCCTGTCTTACCATCGCGTGCGCCACATTGACATCCACGTAGAGAATGGTGATTCTCTGCAGGATCCGCAGCTTGTCCCCGAACTCCTTGCGCAGATGCTCGACCTTGTGCGGCTCTGGGAACATCTCGGAGCCCCTCTTGCCCGCCTCCTTCCGGCTGTGATCGAAACTCTGGTCGATGGCGATGGTCTTGTAGCCCACTGCAAGGATTCAGAGATAAATGGATGCTAGACGGCTTTCCCGGCTACTCACACTCCACCAACTCGTTGAGCAGGGCCCGCATCACCTTGTCGTCCTTGTTGAAGGGTATGCAAAAGTCGTAGAACGGCCTTGTCTGCTCCATTTCCAGTTTGTTTTGATTTTCCGGCGAGCAGCAAGCGTGCAACTGGTGTCTAGAGTGACCAGAGCTGTCGAGGGGAGAAATGCTGTTCTGCAGGCTATGCTGGTCACACTGGGCAATTTAAAAAAGAAAGAAGTTTAAATTTCCCGGAAAATTGCAATTAAATTAAAACACAAAACTATGTTTAATCTTCTGCTTCATTTAATTCGAACATAAACAAGAGGCGTCATTGGATAAAGCTAGGGTCACAGGGGGTCCTTAGCCTCGACTGTGGGTGATGCTGGCTGCGCTGAATGCTCCTCGAACTGCTTGGCCTTGGCTCGCCGGGACTTGATCAGGATCCCGTGGCCGGGACAGTCGCAGTCGGTGCTGTAGCAGCGGTCCTTGCAGCAGACGCGGCACAGCCGAAACTCGCACTTGGATCCCTGGGGATTGGCGCACTCCGTGCAGTATTCCAGGCGTCGCTCGTGGCGCAGCTGGATCTGGGCCTCCGTTTTGTTGGGTCTGCGCTGGCGTCGCCGCAGCTTCTTCATCCGTTTGCGGGAGATCTCGTTGCCTTCCTTGTCAAAGTACTGCCGCTTGGCCCGGTTGGGGTCCTCGGCGGCGCGCTCCTTTTCGGCAATCTTTTGGCGATGGGATTCGGGTGAGGCACGAATGTACGGCTGGCACAGCCAGGGCTCCAGGCGTAGGCGCTGCTTGGGGTTTATAAATTAGATTTTTGATTCCTTTCAAGAGTACACAATCTTGGCTTACATCTTCACCGGTTTCCGCGCTGAGGTTGACTTCCATATCCTCGGGCTCGTAGGTCATATCGCCTCTTTGGTAGGGCTCGTACTTGGCCTGCACCTTGTCCACGACAGTTTGGAATTGCTTCAGCTGATTGGCTGTGGCCAGGGTCTCTCGGAGCTCCGAGTTCTGGCTGATGTTCATGCTGGAAGAGAGCTAAGCATTAACTAAGTTGCAATTTCTGGATCCCGATCCCTTACAGGTGGTGGAAGAGCTTGAAGAGATGTCCCCGTATGTAGGAGCTGGGGCAGGGATAGAGCTCCACCAGCTCCAAGTACTCCTTCGCCATCTGCCAGACTGGCGGTGCGATGCCTTGGAAAATGGCCGGATTGTGCAGATTCCCCTCGGCGCTCATAACGCCGTCGACGCCCGTGGCCTCCAGGCAGCGGTGCACGTCCTCCAGGCTCAGGATATTGCCGTTGGCAAACATGGGGATCTTAATGTGCTGCCGCACATCCTTAATGTAACTCCAATCTGCCACACCAGTCAGTGGTCCCTTTTGCTCCCGCGTCCGCCCATGGACCGTGAGGAGCTGACAGCCGGCCGCCTCCAGCATCTTGGCATAGCGAATGGTCTTGTCGCGGTCCTCAAAGATGCGGATCTTGCAGGTCACGGGTATGGAGAGCTTGGCGTTCAAGGTGCTCACTGAAAGTCGGAAAGTTATGACAACTATTTATGAATTCCCTGGCGCGCTCTTCCACTCACCAATCTCCGTCAGCAGTTCCCATTCTTCCTGCAGAAACGATCCGTAGTGACCCCTCTTGGCAATGGCCTGTGGGCAGCCCAGATTAATGTCCACAGCATCGCAGTGATCCTGTGCCGCCAGCGCAGCCTCCAGAATCTGCTCGGCATCGTTGCCGCAGAACTGTATGATCAGGGGTCTGTCGGCGGCACATGTCTGCAGCGCATCCTTCCGGTACTTGGGATCCGTGGCGAACAGGTTGGCATGGAACATGGGCGAGTAGCAGAGCTGGGCTCCGTATCGGCGGCACAGCATCCGCCAGGCCAGCTCGCTCTGGTCCACCATGGGTGCCACCACATAGCGCGGTGATCCCAGCGTGGAGCGATAGAAGTCGTAGCCTTTCAGTTTGCTGGAAGAGACTGCCTTCGTAGCCTCATCCGGGCCCTCGTCTGTGTTGACCATATCAAGGGATTTGTAAGCTGGAGGGGAAAAGGACGAATGAAGGATGATTAATATACAAATTAATTATAATATCAAAATAAATATAATTAAGCTTCTTCAAGGAAAGGCAGAGCTCGTACTTAAAGCTCAATCTATATACTAAGAGAGTGAAACCTACAGGCTCTCAAGAGTTTTTACTCCATATTAAACCTCTCACATTACTCATCCCCCATCCCGAGCTGCTCTGCTTTGACAAATTTCCGCAATGCAGTCAAATATTGAGGCTCATTTTTTGTGGCAAGAGGGACGGGACCACCCACGCATTTCCACGGCGCGGCTAATTAGCGACACATTAGCAGGCCACCAAAAGTAGGTGCGGCCGAGCGACCACGGCGGGTAAAGAGCCACGCACAGCTGGGCAAAGCGGCCTAAAAGCGGCTCAAAAGCCAAACAAATTCACATTGAGCACACACACAGCACGAGAGAAATACAAGAAATTAATGGAAAAGGTGAAAATATATGAAAAGGTGTCTGGAAAACACAAGGGGTTATGTTTGGGGGTAGGTTTAGGCCGGAGTTTAACCTATTAACCAGGGAAATTTTGAAATGAATTTGTACTAATGAAAAGAGTATTCATTTGAGGTGATTGAATGGGGGTTTCTTCTTTTTTCTAACCAACTAGAATCTTATTTATTAATCAATTAATAATTGTTTGAGAGGTTTCTCCGTGATATTTACAAGTGTATGTATTTAAATTTATATCCTGAAATTATTTATAATAAAGGAAAACAAATCTTAAAATTTTAAAATCAATTTTAAGCTTGATTTAGAAACCCAAAGACCAAAATCACATACAATCTCTGTTTAAAAAACCATCAGTTTCAGAAATATAAATATATAAAAATACAGAATGCTCAAAAATGTATTATTTTAAATACATTTGGTCATCTTTTTTAACAGTAATCATTTCTGAAATCATTGTCTGGGAAATATTAGATTTTAAATGCACTTAAAGCCTTAAATTAAAGACCCCTTCCAAGTTAAATACAACCATCAGGTATTGCAATTTATCTTCAATTAATTTTCTCTGCTATCTTCCCAAGCCAATGGCTTTTTCATTTCACTTTTCCTCGGCGTTTTCCTTTTTCACTTTCGATTTTCGGGGCTTGGCCCAGTCACAGAAGCGTGAAAATTGCGCTCTGAGCCAATGCACAGAGCCCGGCAACAATTGCAGCAATTAGGAGAAAAGAAAAGCGCCGATGCAACGGCCATACCCGTGGCCCAAACAACATGTAACAATGGCGCACTAATTGAGTTATTCAAGTTGTGCACGCACTTCAAAATAACTTGCAACTTGCAGCTTAAAACTTGAAACTTGAGTCCCACTTGGGCGCAGCTTAACGACACGATGTATTCATCGGACGGATCGCAAAAGAGACCTTTTAAATGGCTAACAGAAGGTACAGTGCGTTTGGGTGGCATAAGGTTAATAATTTTGAATAATAATATTTATTTATTATTATTATACCTTTTTTTAAAGGAAAAATTCTCAAAAATTAAAGGAGAGTTTAATTTAAGGCAGAAAATTCTCTAAAATGTTTTTTTAGTTTACAAAGATAAATATTTTAATTAAATATAATAAATAAATAAATAATAATGCGTATTACTTATTTATTTAATCTCGGAAAAATACAAAAAATAAAAATAAATAATAAAGCTTATTACTTATTCATTTAATCTCTGAAAAATACTCCATCTAAGCCAAGAATTTAATTGTGAAGAGCCCCTTAAATTCTTCTAATAAAATATTTGAAAATCTGTTCAAATAATAAGGAAAACAAGAAAGGAAACTAATTTCGAAAATCCGAAATTTGTATACCCTTGCAGTTTGCCATAGGATCTTTCATCCAATCAAAAATCGATCATAACTAAGCCAAAAAAGCATCAAATTCAATTCGGAAAGTTTTTCTGTGCTAGTTTTTTCTAGGGTAACAAAACTGCATATTAAATTTTTAATTAAAAAAAAAAAAATTTTGGCAATTTTTGCAAATTTTAATGATGTAACCCCTTACATTTTTTTTGCAAAAATGGCTAAAAAATAATTTTCTTCCAAACAAAGCTAGAAAGAAGCGCCTGTTAATGCTGATCAAGAATATATATGATTTATAGGGTCGGAAACGACTCCTTCGCTGACTAAAATCATAAAAACCCCTCAAGAAGATCTTAAATATTCACTGTCTTCAAATGAATATTTTTATATATTTTAAATGGTAATTTTTGTATAAAAAATAATCATAACTAAGCCAAAAAAGCATCAAATTCAATTCGGAAAGCTGTTCTGTGCTATTTTTTTCCAGATAAACAAATCTGCTTACTAAATTTCACATTTTAAGATATTACAATTTTTGCTAATTTTTTCTGTGACAATGAACCATTTTAAGACCTCAAAAATACAAAAAAAAATTATGAAAAATGTTTTTCTTCTAAAAATGGCTAGATCGACTCCGCTTTTTGTGCTGATCAAGAATATATATGATTTATAGGGTCGGAAACGACTCCTTCACTATATAACACACTTTTGACAAAAATTTTAATACCCTGCAAGGGTATAAATATAAAACGCTTTTTAAATTTCAAGGAAAACTCTTTTGAGCAACACAATAATCTTTCTATATTTTCCCCTATCATTTGATACTCTTAATTTTCAGGGAACATTTTCCCCTCGATTAAATTCTCACTAATGAAACGCACCTGCTTCAAGATGCTTCCCAAAAATAAGGCAAGTCCCAGGTAGCTTGCACAATAACTTGCATAACTTGGCTCGATTGGAAATTTACTTTGGCAACACACACAGACACAGACAGGGACACAAAACAAACAAAGAAAAAGTTTTTGCATTGAAAGTTTACTGACCGGAAATGGCATGCAATTTTATCAGTGGCAAAGGCAGATTTCCTCCTCTACTTTTCGGCTTTTCCTTCACTCCTTCCCCCCTTTATTTCTTTAGACTTTCCGCTCGAGTCTGCCACCCTGTTGCTCCTTACCCCAAAATGTCTGTCGAGTAATTAAAGTTCTTAAATGGGCAGGGGAAACTTTTTTGCCCTCGGAACGAACTATAAATTGCATAAGAGAGCTGGAATAAAGTGCAGGCCCGGAAAACGAGGAAAAGCGGAAAAAGAGGCGTGGCTGCACCGCCGCCAGCTGTTGGCTTTGTCATAATTATGCCCAAATTACAGCCAAGTTGCCAAAATGAGACGTCCGCAGCAGGAGCAGGACCTCCCCCAAGGGGTTCCCGGGCTCGGGCATTGCATTTTGCAATTAAGAACTTTTCGCCGAACAAAACCCAACTGCAACATGAACAAGAGTCCGTTAATGTGGACAGATTCTGGGTGAATTACATTACATACATTTTTCGTTTCCTTATTATTTGCCCAGGAAAGTTTCGGGGGCCATAAATTACTGCGCTAAATAGGGGATATATTTTTAAGTTTTCCGCAGAAAAGAAAGACCACTTCATTGCAGAGAGATGTAGAAGTTGGTGAGGAAGAGTTCAATATGATATAGATATGAAAATAGATACTATGGGATACCTACGGAAAGTATCCTATATCCTTTTGTAGCTTCTATAAATTATATGCAATTTAATTGATTCAAATCCTCTTTAAAATAGACTCCCTCCTAGCTAAGTAAATTATTTAATTTGCATTCAAAAACACAAACAATTGGTCAACCACAAACCGCTGTGAAGAATGTGGCCCTGCAGTTGGCCCGGAAAACTAGGAAGACCAGGGGGTCCATCACGAAGACCGCAGACAAGTGCAGCTGTTGATTTAATTACCAAGCGTTCGATTTCTGCGGCGCCTCGAACGATACTGGCAATTAATAATTTCCGCACCAATTAAGATGGCCCAAGACCAAGATCAGGAGCCAGACCCAGGCAATCTAGGCGAGATACCAGAAATGTGGAGGAGCACTCGACCATGGAAGCCATTAACCGTTGGCCACGCCCACGAAGTCATGCTTGGAAATTGCCTTAAACCCCGAGGCGCTCTCATCCCTCCATCATGTTTTCCCCATCGTTGGCTTTTTCCAATTTTTGTTCTTTTGCCGAATTGCATTGAGCAGAATTTTTTATTTATTTGAACCCACCAGCAACGCCATGAAAAATGCAAGAGATTTTATTGGAAAAGCGTTGGAAAATAAATATTCGAAAATATGAAATATTCATTGAAATGTTTAGGTTAGTCGTTGGGATACTAAACCTTGTTTTTTATTGTTTAAATTAAACAAAATACGCTTAGCCAATGTTCATAAGATATATACAAAATCTATCAAAGGATAATCCCCAACTAAACAAGGATATGCAAAAAAATTTAACTGGAAACTGCTCAATTTTCCAAGTACTTTCCGCGAAGCATTTACAAATCGAATTCCCTGATCCCTGGACGGAAAAACATTTGCCTTTGTGGGGGGAGGGGGGAAAACTGCAGACGTTGGCAGTTCCTGTTTTCCCCCCGGAATCCAGGATTCCCCCAATCGAACCTCTGAAGGCCACACGGCAGACGATGAAGGAAGCTCAATAAAAAATTGGTAATGCGAAAAAATGTGAATTAACTTGCTTGCCATTCAACGAGGCGTTAAATCCTTTCAACCAACACGGGAATGGTGCAAGGACGAGGACCAGGATAGGGGAAGAGTAAGAGCAGACCCTGCTGACTCGGCTCCTTCTTGTAATTCTTTTTTTCTCTTCTTTTTTGTGGTTATGTTTTTGCTTGGCTTCTTCTAAAAAAACTCATCCCAGGACCAGTGCTCCGCGTCACCTCGTGTCCTGACCGCAAAAAGTATCCGCCACTTACTTACACTGAAGGAAATATATTTGAGTTTTGAAGTTATCATTGAGTTTGGGTCAGCTTTAAGCAGATCAAAAAATATAGAAAATATAAAAACCCTTTATAATAAAACAACCTGCTTTTAACTTTAGTTTAAAAACTAAACTTAAATAAAATTAAGGACTTTTTTATCCTTTTTCTAAGTGCTTTCTCTGCAGTCCTTGGCTGCTGTATGCTGCTCCCTCTCCTTTTGTCTCGCTGCTTTATTGCTCGGCCTGCTTTACATTTGTTTCGCTGTCGAACTTGCGGCGCGACAAGAAAAGAGGAGAAAAAGGAGCAAGGAGCAGGGAGCAGGGAGCAAGAACCAAGGAGACAGGAGACAAACACACTCGAAATAACGATGCCAGCTCCAAAATATGACCTCATTCCCACACACACCCATGAGGCTTTCCACGAGTTTTTCTCGCATTACACGCACACAGTGGAAAGTTTGCAAAAGGAAACGAAAAAAAAAGAACAACAAAAAACTCGACAGAAAAGTTTATATACTCTTATTAAGGATACTTTGAAGCTTGTAACTCTGCAGAGAAATTGCATTTAGGAACTTTGGATTCATCATTTTATTATCAATAAAAAAAATAATAACAAAAATTCTACAAGTAAACAGCAAATATTAATTATGATTTAATAACGTACAGTTTATTAAATTTGGAAGCTACTTAAATTATTAAGAAGAAATTAAAATATTCTTTTATAGTAAAACAAGTCAATAGAGTATAAATAAACCGAATTCGTGGAGCAGTTCCGCTTGGTGCTTTCACATTTTCCTCTTACTCAGCAAGCGCAATGAAATTTCAAGTGGTCAAGGATGGAAAATGGGCAAAAACACCAAGGGGGGCAGGGGAATACCCGCTAGTTGTGGTCTATTAAAGCGCAGGCTTGGCCAATGCCCAAACTCTCCGTTGTCCGGGCTGGCGTCACCCCTTTCTTCACATGCAACTGGCGGCCCCACGACTCCCCATGGCGTGATGGCAATCAAATTGAAAAATAAAAACTCTCTTTGCGTGCAGCCACAAAACACATTACAACAAAAAAATACAACAAAAACCTGAAACCCCACCAAAAGCATTCACCAACAACTACAAATACAACGTATGAAACGAAAATTGAACCCCCAAATGTCAGTTTTATTGTCCACCTTAAATTGCATGGCAGCTCTGTGTGCGATTAACCTATTCGAGTGACCTCGAGTGCCTTGAAGTGGCCGCTGAAAAGTGATTAAAGTTCTTGAAAACCAAAAGTACTATATTTTGAGGGCACAAAACACCCTTTTAGATTAATGAAATGATTGGATTTCGCAAATGGTAAAGTGAAAGCAATTGGTAAAAGCTTCCAAAGGCACCTTTTGGGATATTTAATTGTTAGTAATTTTCTATTTTCAGGGTTTTGCTTTTGTTAGATGACCAAAATTACAAGAGATCATCAAACATGATTTATATATTTTTAAATATTTTTTAGTTTCTTATTTTCCTTATTGCCCTTGGTTAGTCATAAATAAGAATGTAAATTCTCACCTTTTCCTTTATTAAAAAAAAAACAGAGTTCAAAAGAGTGACTCAAAAATAGCTAAAATGGGTTAAGGGGCGGGCCTTTAAAGCGCCGTTAGATGTCGTCACTTAATCAAATGCAGGACTCCTTCTGCTCCTACTCCTCTTGGGCTCTGCCACCTCTATTTCGAGGCGACGCCCAACTACGTCTGCCATTTCTTATGCAAGCGGGTCAAAGTCAGGGCACTTGGCCCAGCTGGCGGTCCCGCCCCTCCATTCCAGAGCTCTTCAGAAGCACAGGAAAAAAAATATTAAGAGCCTTTATATAGAATTCAGATAAGAGAAATCGCTAATGAAATCTTAAAACTTGTAAATGTTCCATTGATATAAAAAATAAAAAACGAAGTCGAATTTTGATAGAAAGTTAACTCAAAAAGCATTACTAATTATCTAAATAATATTTAAGCTATTTACCAACCTTGCAAAATATATCTAACTACTAATAAACATAGTTTTCAAATAACATTTTCTTCCAGTGCACCTCTCCACTCGTTGTCCTGTATGTACAATCCATTTGCTGACGTAATAAACCATAATAAAGAGGACGAAGCGCGTAACAGACCCGCATTGTGCCCATTTCAAGGACAACAAACGACAGAGGAAGGAATATAGAGAAAAAGGATGGTTTAGAATCGGCCAAGATGTGGCGACAATTTGGCGTCTTCGGCAGGGCGTTTTCCCAGCCAGAAAAAAAAAAGAAAACACAATTGAAATAGGCCAAGTTATGAATGCAGGTTCTGTTTGCTCTCCTTTCTTTCCTGCCTGCACTTAAATTTTTCAAAAGAAGGTCGGTCGCCAAGTATAATCCATCTTTAACCTGTAACCTTTTCAAATTGGTTTATTAATTAGTTGGGCTGACGCCTAGGATCCCAGATTGGAGGAAGGAGCGCCTTCTTTAATGTTGTTTGCACACTTTTGATGAAATTTTATTACACACAGCTCATTAGGACTAATGATGCTTGTTGGCTGTCAGACTTGATTCAGATCCTGAGTACACACAAAAAAAAAAAATAATAATCGTAGTAATTAAATGGCTAAAAGTTTAAGAAATTGAAACTTGATTCTTAATTTCTTAAAATTATGCTCTCCTCTATTTTTCTATCCCCTTTTCTTCTCTTTTTCTTTACTTGTTAATTGCTTATTTTCCACTTTATTTTTCTCTCTGTATTTGTAGCGCAAAGGCTGCCAACTTGAGACGAGACCTGAGCCCGAACCTGAGATTATGGCGGATGAGGAAGAGTCTGTGGGAGGGGCGGGACAGGAAAGCCAACTGCAGCAGTGACGATAATGAAGGGGCTGTCGGTTGGCCTTGTATGATATATATGTATATACTATATGTAGTACAGGGAGTATCTTTGGATGGGGCTCAGCGTCGACTGTCTGCCTTTGCACTTAATTATATTTGCAGGGCCCAGACGATGACGATGTCGAAGCCAAATGGCCAAATTGAACGTGAATTTCACTGATTCACTGACATGGGAAATGGTCACTGAAAAGGGCAAGAATAACGAATGTTTTTTTTATTGGAAAATCAAGGAATTTTCACCTTTTAAAAGGGGGAACTTTAAACTAAATGTATTTACGTATATGAAATACATTTAAAAAGCTCAGCTTGTACGGTTTATTATTATTCTGTTGATAAGTTTTGGCTATTTTTATATTTAATTAGCTAAAGTTTTAATGAGTGTGTAATGTCACGTCAGCAAAGTAATTATAAACATTACATTACCTTAATTATTTTTAGCCTTTTGGGAACAAGGTTTATTAGAAATAAAACAAGGCAACTTAAAGAGAAAGAAGCTAGTTTTTATAAAAATAAATGTACAAACTTTATAACGAAAGTAAATTTAAATTGTTGTTACTCTTGATAAGTATTAAAGGCAGAAATTAAAGCTAACCAATGTAATGAAATCCTTTGGTAATGCTCAAGTCCTTGTATCCTTGGCTAAAAGAAATGTTGCCTACTTAACGGGCGCTGCTCAATTAGTCGTCTTATTTGCAATGAATGAGAGTTGCCTGGATTTGTTTTTTTTTCTTTTGCTACAAGGATGCAGACAGCAGCGGTTAAATTAATAAGAGTTTCGAAAAAAAATAATGTAAACCAATTAAAAAATTATGATTAAAATATTTTAGGCCGCAGAAACATTCGAAAACAATCAAATGTTTATTTAAATTAAAGTAATTTCCCCATAAAGAGCTTTATATTATTTTAAATAAATATTTAACATATTTAAAATATATGGTAAATGGAAGTAGGACGACTAAAGAAACTATATAAATTCTTAAGGTAACTTCTAGACCATTTAAAGCCACTTTTGCTTTAGTAAAAAAGCCTTTTATAAAGGCTCAAAGCCTGCTTTCTTCAATGACACCTACTATTCTGACCACAGGTGTCACCCACACAGGTTTATACTCCCAAAACAAAGCACTCTCTCCTCTCACAAATACACCTGCAAAGTGGAGAAGCAGACAAACAAGCCAAATGACACGTAGCCATAAATCCCCCTACATTTTATTACCAAAGCGCTAAGCTTTAGGGCCACGTCTCCAGGTGTGTGTGCGTGGTGTGTGTTTGCGTGTTGGTGCGTAGGTGTGCGTGTGTGATTAGTTTTGGCGAGACAAACACACATGACACACACACACGACGCAGACGTCAAACAGGAAACATAAAATGCCAACAACAATTTACTTTGTTAATTTACGTGCAAGTATTTGCATAAATAATAAAAGCAACAGCACCACCGCCAAAGGCTAAATAAAAACAATAAAGGGGAAAAACCCAATAAGAAATTTCAATACTTTCGAGTGATTTCTTTTCCTTCGAAGGAATATTTTTTTATTACCCATTTGGTTATCGATTGGTGTCCGGGTTGGGGGAATTTCGTTGGAATTTTTAGATGTTTCAATAAACAATAATAAATATATTTTAACTACATTACAGAAGTCAGCAGAAAAGAGTGAAGACTTGAAAAGATATTGCTGTTTTATAAACATTTAAAGTGTTGTATAAATTATTCAATTTTACCTATTCAAAACTTAAACAAAAGGTTAAGCACCTATTTATTTATAAGTACAAAATCTATTGCAAACTTTCAGTTTAACTTACCTCTATTACTTAAACAAAAACCAGTATTTAAAATATTTAAATAATTGAAATACATATAGTATCAGTACTTTCTAGATAGCATTTTGCTTTGCTCCAATTAATAAACCTCAAATCGAAACGCCTAGACCTAAAGTTCATGGTTCACTTACAGAAACCACCAAAATTGCGCATACGCAGCGTGGGCAGTTAGGAAGGTGGCAGCTTAACCGCAACGAGTAGCAAATACAGCAAATGAAGCCACTGAGGGTCCGATGGAATTGTCAACACGTTCGAGCCACCCGATGGCCATTCTCTGGCTGGTAAATATTTAAAATGCCAATGAAAGCGGGTCAGAAGCCAGCCCCGAGCAGTGACGGTGATGTAGTTTTACCCCCACTTTTCCCACCTCGCAATGATGGCCAATGATAGTTTTATGGCTCTCTGTTTTGTAGTTTGTTCTCTGGCGTTTTTATTTCACTTTTCTGTCTGGGCTCTTTTTGCGTTTTAACGTTTTTTGTTTTTATTCTCTTTGGTTTTTTCAAGAGCCATTTACAATTTACTTAGGTTCTAAAGGGGCGGCGGCGTACACAAAATATTAGCAAAAATATCAAACGGAAAGTAACTATATTGTTATTAGTAATATTATTTTTATTTCTGGATTTTATTATTATTATTTTTATTATACAAAGCAGGGCCAGAAATCCTCTAGTTCAACTTTTGTTAACCATAAATGTTTCAACTCGTTTCTATAGCATACTTATCTGCTTTCAATACATAGTTCTTGGTTTTCTCTCTATAAATATTTTCCTCTTTGTTTTCAATTTCGTTTTTCAATGGACTGCACATTTTATCAAAACATATATAGGTTTGTATATATTTTTGCTTTATAATCTGTGCACAATTATTACAATTATTATTATCTCTCTGGCTTTCAAATTCAATCTTTTACATTATTTCCCTTGCCACCTCCTCCACCGGTTCCAGTCTCATACGCATTATTTGTTTTATATTATTTTCTCTGTTAATTTGTTGTCAGCTTAAGTTACAGGAGGGACTATGGTCTACATTCGTACATACATATATCTGGGGGGAAAGTCATTAACTAAATTGAAAAGCATATTAAAATAGGGCCGAGTAGGAGGCACCTCCGCCATGTGTGTGTGTGTGTCTGAGTATTCCGCCTCGGTGAAAATCCAACAAAGGAGAGCCAGAGGAGGAGTTCGTTGAACCGAGGAAAAGGAAAAGGAAAAGCAAAGCCAGGCAACTGAAAATGTCACTGCTGGTTTGGAAAACAAAGGCGTGGGGCCAGGTGGAGTGGGACTTGGAGTTAACCTAACTACCATTGCTAATAACAACAGGGAGGAGGAGCAGTCGAAGGAGCAGGTGGAGTAGTCCAAGGCGTAGGCCCTGATGATGAGATATCGCACCCAATTTCTGCCCCAATCAATCATAATTCGTTTGCCTAGCATGGGATAGTTCTCCTGCTGGCGGAGAGGCGTGGTCTTACACTTTAAATAGTTTTAAACAAATTACTGCAAATTTAAGTAACCTTTCTTGGTTAGAAGTATCATTTTAGGATGACCAAAAATATCGATATAAGAAATGATATCTTAACCTCATTGCTTGTACTTTGCAGGCTTTAGATATTGCAAGCTCTGATCTATTCTCTATACTCTGCCCCGACTTTATTTCCAGTGTGTTCATCAAACACAAAACATTTTTCGGCTTGCATGTCAAAGATGTATATCAATATACCTAGATATATAAAATAATCCACAGGCAACAAGCCAATGTTTTATAATTGATGCAAGGCAATAACCGGGACAATAACAACAACAAGTGGTCATGACAACAACAGAAACTTAAAAATAAAATGCAGAGAAACGCAAAAAAACCAAGAATGTTGCATTTGTTACCATAGAGAAAGTCAGTCAAGTGGGCGAAACCCAGAACCCCTCCTTGATTCCGATTGGAATATTTCTGCTTTTGTCCCGTAAACAAACTCCACACACACCGGTTCGTCCTGGAATCAAACTGAAAAGTCGTCGAGGGCGTTGCCTGGCAGTTTCTCCCTACGCCTCCATTTTCCCCGGAAAGCACACAGAGAGAGTCAGGGAGATACATGACACGAACATGCAATTAAAGTCGAATATATATATATAAACGTAGAGAGAATTTATAGAAACACTGACTTTTTATATCTATTCAAATTTCTCTACAGAAAATCCCACAGCAATGCAGAAAGGATTCCACCTCTTGCCAGGTGTGTACAGATGCACTTGCACAGACCGACGCCTCTGAAGAGTGAGACTGGCTGACCAGGACAGACATCCGGATAGACACGAGATAAATGCAAATGCGTGAGGCAATAAAGCGAAAGGAACAAAAAGGATGTACCTTTGATGTTTTCAAAATAAAGTGTAAGGTTTTCTTAGTTTTTTTTCTAGAGAAAAATCCTATTTTTGAGCATAGACTGTGGCACACAAGTCTCGGCTACGTAATGAAGCTTGGTGTTCGTGTGTCTCCCACTGACAGCAGGTGCAGCTCCAAATGTTAACGCCAAGTGCCATCAAATTAAACATTTTCCTCAGCGGAAATGAAGGAGAAAAAGCAAGCTGAATTGTGCTCTGCAAAGTCTGCATTGAAAATCCATTTATAGTTTGTGGCATTATGTTATTTTTGTAGCCTGTCTCCTGTCTGCTGTCACTGCAAAACGAACTCGAACTGGTGGCAAAGGCACTGCAAGTGCACCGCATGCCACTCCGCCCGAAGTCGGGGCTCAATGACACCGTCTCCGATTCCGTTTCCCCTATATATTCCATATTTCCTGCATATTGTATAGTCTGGGAGGGTAGCAGCAATTTTTGAGGTCTAACCGACATGATTTGCAGCGTCAAAAAAATGAGGTTTTTGGCTCTAAAATTAACTTGGCATTTATTTTGGCCTCAATCCGCTGACGGAGTGACCGAAATAAGTAAGCATATGGCTTGAAAAATTCAGTTAACTATGGAAAGTTGGCCAAAAAGGTTTAAGAACGAGATAAATAAGCCTTGAATCTTGCATAAACTAATTTTAAATATTTTAGTATGAAGTTTTTGCTTTGAAAGGATATGCCTCTTGGTTTAGGCTCAAGTTTTTGGCTTGACTTTACACATAGTTAAAGCAGATTTCTTTTAAGGGAATTTATGTTTCTAAACACTGCAAAAGAATCACCTTTTAATTTATAAAATTAAATATATATCTCAACCTCACAATCAAGGAACAATAAACAACTGCCAGGGTATCCCTTTCAGTGATTGAGGCCAACCGAAATTGATTCGGGAGTGCTCACTCACTCACTAGCTCACACTGAGCTCTCCACTAAAAGGAAAACTAATCACACTCGTCCTCGTTGTCGACTCGATTCTCCATCCATCTAACTGACACCACTTGTGCTTCCCGGAGTCCTGCCTCCTCCTTTTCTGGTTAAAAATGGACTCTCCCCCGCTGTCAGTTTCAATAACATGAACTGCCTCTGCTGGAAGGATGATAAAAAAGACGGCAGTGGAGTGTCATGTGCGTAGTCGTTATGGCTGGGCTGGCGTGTCTACAACACAGAGATACTTGGTACCTACAACCGTGCGCTCTTTAGCCGGCCAATCCTCGATAGCTGTCCAACTGACAGCTGAGCAGGATGAGCCCTGAAGGGGACTGAAGGCTGAACTCCACTCAATTCCGCAGTTGACGCATTTCCATTTACAGGTCTTGTTTTCCCCGACTTGTGCCGCTGCATTAATTATTCAGTTTCGGCATATTTAATGGATGGGGGAGAGAGAGAGAGTCAGTTGTCAAAATCAAGTTTAGAACAAAGCCAACAAATATATACCCATGACGACTGCCATCGGGGCTTTTGCATTTGAATTTTAATCGAATGAAAACATTTGCGTAACAATTTGGCAACATGCAGCCATCGTGTGTCCTTCTGCCTGCTGCCAGAGATACAAGGATACACGGATTCCCCGAGCAGCTGCAGATACAATACGTAATCATTCGGCGACGCCTCCGCTTACACACATTTTCCAAAATGAAAATCAATACCAGCGGAGGCGTGGGGAAAGGGGTGAGCTGTCTTTTCTGTCTCTCTTTCTCCCTGGGGGGGAGAAAAGTCCCCGTAGCCTGGCTCCAAACTTCTGCACATGCTGTTGCATATTTTATCAATTCAACTGCAAAGTCATTCAAATGGATAGCAAAGACATGTTTAGAGGGGGGATCTGATGCAGTTAAGGACTAACGACTAACGACGTCAACAAAGAAGCTCCGCATGGGTAAAGCAAACACTGAGAATCCTAAAGAAAGAAAGATTCCCTGGGATAATGGGGTTTATGACACTGCAGTGTGGCTTACGTTAATTGGAATCATATTTCTAGAGTAACAAAAGCAAACAATATAAACTAAAAGCTGGTATAAGTAACAAGAGATAATATTTCAAACTTTTGTTGATTCTAAATTCTTTAAATGGATATTTATCATAGTTTTTATGGTAATTTTTTAAACCAATCAAATTTTAAAAACTACATAACTACGTCAAAAAAGGATCAACTTTAATTGGGATAACTTTTCTATGCTAGTTTTTTCTGGGTTAATAAATCTGCTTACTAAATTTAGTTTTTCAAGAAATCAAAATTTTTTCCAATTTTTGAAAATTTGAAGTTTTGAAAGATGGCCAGAAAGACTCGCCTGTTTATGCTGATCAAGAATATGTATGGTTTATAGGGTCGGAAATAACTGCTTCCCTTAATAAAATCAAAAAACCCTTCAGAATGGGATATTTTCTTTAAAGAGATATTTTCCATAACTACATTAAACAATAGGATTAGGGGCTTAGTTTGCTCAGTTATATAATGAAATTTATTACCCATTTTCAAATTCGTTTTAAAGAAAATGATATTTTATTTACTATTTTTGCTTAACCTTAAACCCTTTTAAAGAGGTGTAACGAAAAAGGTTCCAAATTTCCCATAACAAAATAATTTATTATCTCCAGTAATAACTTATTAAATGGGTAAAAAAATGCCATAAATTCCCAGTATCTTAGGGACATTATTGCCTCTCCAGAACAGACTCTTAATAAATCAAATATGCAGTCCACAAAACTCAAACAAAGAAGCCGCCGGACCACCGAGCGACCCACCGACCGAAAGCGGTAATTAAGTTTGGCCATGAAACCGCATCGCATCAAAGGCAATTTCCTCTCCTGACTCTGACAGCTCGCCCACACTCAATACGCCTCCTCCCGCTCCTGCTTCTCGTCCCCCTCCCCTCCCTCCTCGGGCTTAATTGATTTCAGTTATGACTTTCGATGCTTATTTGCGGATTAATTGATTTCCGGAACTCCAAACGGAATCGAGTGCGGGACGGGGTGGCTACATACATACTAAGACTAGCCTACGGACTAAACAGAAACCTCTTCCTTTCTACTAGGTGCTGCTCGAATTGGAGCTGATGCTCTGCAGGGAGCTGTTGGAGGCGGTCTTCCTTAGGGTTTCGCCCGCCAAACTGCACAGATTCTGGACGAGAAGGGCCGAGTTACCGGATCCCAGAGTGCCGCGATTAAGCAGCGTTGGCGAGGACGTGGCTTTGGCCGGATTGGAGTTGGTTGCATTGGCAAGATGATGGTGCCTCAGTGGCTGCGGCGAGGTTGGATTCGAAAGGCCGGATTCGTGGATGGGCGACAGAGTGGGGGACCGGGTCCTCAGGAAGTGCTTTCTCCTCTGCCTCCGGTAGACGTTGCCCAAACTGGGCAAGGTCCGGCTGTTTGTCTGGCACGATTGCTGCTGCAGGTTGCTGGCGAATCCCAAGGTCTTGGCCAGCTCGGCCAGCTCCTGGCTGGTCTGGTTCATTTTCCTCCTCGTCGGCGGCGGCAGGGCGGGCGGCAAGGTCAGCGTGTAGGTGGTCACACTGTCGTCCCTTATCACGGATGTGGGCAGCAGCATCACCTCCTTCTGCCCGCCGCTCGATGGACTGGTGCTCAGCTCGCTGCTCTCCAGGGAACTCCGGCTCGGCGAGCTGGCCGGCGGTGTGGGCGTCGCTGTCGAGGTGGCATAGCCACGCCCCGCCGCCTGCAGCTGCAGCGGACGTATTTGATTCTGCTTGATGCCGGACCCACCATGATTCTGGTGATGCTCCTTGCCCGCCGCAATGCCGCCGTGGTGCCCACCATGACGACAGCGCGGTCTTCGGTAGCGTCCCAGCAGGCGCAACATGTGCCGCAGCCTGGAGCTCCTCGGTGGCGTCGAGGGGATGGTTGCAGGCTTCAGCGGCAGTTCCTGATCCACACCGCCGTTCAGGGTGCGTATGAACTGTATGGGGGGCAGCTCCTGGGCACTCAGTTTGGCCGCAGCGGCCGCCTCTTCTCGCTCCCGGAATGTCAAGGCAGCAAGGAGATCATTGGGCACATCGGGACTATCAGGGACCGAGGCGCAGCAGTTCCATTTCCTCCGCCAGCGCTGGTGCTTTGAGATATTCCCAGCCGCTGTCGCTGACGACGAGGATCCGCCCGTCTGACTGGTCAGAGTGCGAGTGCTACTACTTCCGCCGGCACTGCTCACAGCCCCCGAGGATCCGGATGCCGTGCCCCTTCTCAGGCGGAAAGTGCACAGGGTGCACTGCTCTGTGTACTGGAGATATGTGGCCGGTCGTTGCGGTCGCGGCTCCGCGGAGAGCAGTGAACCCTTGGCCAGGCTAACGCGACGCTGCAGGGAGCTGGCTGCGAAGCTGGAGCAGCAGTGGAAGCTGCTCAGGGTGTCCTGTTCCAACTGAACCTGCTGGGGAACCCGCCGCTCCTCTAGCACCGAGCACACGTAGATGGCCTGCCGGCTCTGGTGGAACTCCCTAGAGCTGGCGCAGCAATGCATCCTCATGGATTGCTCTCTCGTTTGCCCCACCGCCGCCGCCTCCTGGTTCTGCTGCTGGCTGGGATGCGGGGCACTTGAACAGCAGTAAAGCTGCTGGCCGCCCGGCAACGACTTGGACGGAATGTGTGGCTCGGGCATGGAGGCCGAGAAGTGAACACTGCCATTCTTGGCCACTCCCGTGGGAGGAGCGGCCTCCTGGAGCTGCTTGGCTTTGGCCTCCTGTGCCTGACGGTGGTTCCTGATATACTCGTAGGTGGTCAGTCCCAAAAACGAGATGTAGATGTGAAAGAAGCACAGGTGGAGCAGCAAGCCGGCGCTGACAGCGGCCAGCAGGCCCAGGACACCCAGCAGGAGCAGGAAAATGGTCTCGTTGACTCCGATTCCTCCGACCACAGGTGTTACCGTGTGATTGGTGAGTGAAATTTCCGGCTGCGTTGTGCTAGCTTCAATCAACGCCGTAAAATTCTCCAGGAGTGTGGGCAGAGTGGAGGAGATGGTGGCGTTCGCCTGTAACAGCAGCAGCTGCTCATCGTCATCATCCATTACCCGTCGCCGCTGCTCCTCTTCCTCCATTGCAGGCTGTTGCTCCATGCCCAGGCTCAGTGTAAGGTTTATATAGTCGCCGCCATCCAAGGCAATGTGATGGTGGCTCGTGTTCACCTCGGAGCCCAGGCGACACCAGTAGAAGCTCAGCCACTCCGGCTGGATGTAGTAGAAGACGATCTGCGCCACCACGGCGGCCACGATGACGAGGGTGGCCACCACCGCACTGACCACGCACATCAGGAAGGCCACATAGTTCCGCGAGCCGATGCAGTGATTCAGCCACTTGCAGTGGTGATCGAACTTGCCCACGCACTTGTTGCACACCGAACAGTGCTTCGTGCGGCTCGACGAGGTCCGGATGTTGCACAGATGGCACCGCCCGTTCTCGATCACGTGACCGTGCTTCGTCCGATCGAATTCGGGCACGATCCGATCGTTGCGATGCACCCGCCGGAGCTCCTTGTCCGCGGGATCCGTCAGCAGGGCGGTGAGATGGGAGGCAATGTGGACCAGATAGAGGCCGGTGATCAGACCATAGAGGGGTCCCTGCAGGGGCGTGTGAAAGGCCGGTATGAGCACCCAGTAGCTGGCCACGCCGAACAGAAGGAGCACCAGCCAGCCGAAGAGCTGAAGGGGATGCAGGGGCAGCTGCAGTCCGTGGAGGCGTCTTCCCCGCCGGTGCTGCACATCGGCGATGTTATTCTGATAGCTAACCAGCTGCGATAGCCGGCACAGACCGAGGGCTTGGCTCTGCTTCTGCTCACTGGACGATGTCGGCGGCGATGAGGGAAATCCGCTTCCCAGGGTTTTGGTGACAGGTGAGGTAGGCACTGCTCCCTTTACTGGCTCCTCGCTGCCCGACTCGGTTAGGCTGGCAGTGCTGATGGTTATGATGTGGTCCGTTGCCTCCGTCGGCCTGACTCCGTTGGCTCCTTTGGGTCCGGGTCCTAGTACAGCTTGTGTTGTGGACATCTTGTTGATGCGTCCGAAGGAGATGCCTCGTTCGATGATAATGGCGATGATAGTGAGGCTGACGTAGATGTGGATGATGTGGATGAGGTGTGATGATTGATGAAAGGTCCTGCTTGACAGATGAACATTACATCTGATTCTGAGCCACGCCCTCAACGGATGATGATGCAATCCAGCGGTGGAGAGACCTCATATAATTCCCAACCGATTTTTAAGCATGTTTTAATCTCAAGTCTCTGTTTTTATGTTGTAATTTGTTGATTTAATAGTTAATCACTTAATTAAGTTCTTTCTTCTCTTTGTTTTTGAGTGTGTTTATAAGTTTACGATATTTTTGTTGAATTTGAAGCATTACGATATTGAGTAAAACTCACTTTTCACTTATTATAATTATTTTAGTATATTTTTTGGTAGTTTTTGGTTGTGTGGAATTTTAATAGTATTGTAATTACGAAACAAAATTTACTTTTAATTTGGATTAGAGAGTTCTTCGTCTATTACAGTCCAATTGTTTTATTATATTTCCCTTCCAAAATGCTTGTTTATTTATTTGTTTGTTTATTTTGTTTATTTATTTATGTCAAAATCTCCTTAGCTGGATTTATTTTCGGAAAAACTTTTTTGTTGCCTATTTTCTGGCTCTGCTCCCGCTTCACTGACTTCTCGTCTGGGCACTTATTGTTTTTTATTGGCTTTCTCTTTTACTTTTTCTGTATTTTTTATTAATCTCCTTCTTTGATTTTTGTTGCTGCTTTCTCTTCTTTGCCTTTGTTATTTTGTTTTTCTGAATGGCGCAGCAGTTAACGGTTCATACGTAAACGAATTTTGTTGTGTTCTTGCTGTTATTGTTGCTTTTGCCTTTGCCGCTGTGGGGGGGTGGTAACACTAAAAAGCGGGCGCAGAAAACCAGGATTGTCGCCACCCCCGTCCGCCTCGCCGTTTTCTTTTTTTGCGAAAATTCCTGCTCTATGATTCCCCTTCAGCGCGGCGGCCCTTTTGCTTTTTCGCTCTGCGTTTTGCTATTTGTTTTCGACTCCGCAAACACACATACACACACACAGGCGTATACAAGGGCGTCGCGAGTTAAAATAACGTCCACGTTTACCGTTATTTCAGCATCTGAACAATCCGACTCCTTCAACCGACGCGACCAAACTGACGAAACCTAGCTTTCGGCATCCCCTGCCAAGCAGGCCAGTGCATTCAATTTGTAAGTTGGCAGTCGAGTGGAGAGTGTAATTCAACTCCAACGAACCAACTCAACGGAGAAAGTACTGTAAGCTTAAGCTCGGCCTGTGTGCTAACAGCATGTTTGACAAAAGCTGCCAACTACCACTGTTAACTTACACTGGCCTACACAATGATTAAACTTTGCACAAGTGATTAACCTTATAATAAACCTTTTTGTAGGGAAATAGAAAAGGAAAATATAAGTTAATAATACTTTAAACCCCCAAACAATTATAGATAATAACTTTTCTTTTACTGAAATAGATAGTGCTAGATGGAAATATTAAAAATTATAAATTTAAAAATTTTAAATATTAGTTTCAAGTCAGATAAGATAGAAATTTCGTTATTTGTTAGCCAGTTAAATGTTAAATCTTACTGCTCTCTGCCTCTCTTTCTCCCTTAGCTTGAAGCGCTCTCAAATGCCGTTGAGAGAGGACAACGCTGATAACGATTGAAAGTCTCTCTCCAGCTGATTGAAAGCTGCAAAGCTTTCTCCGTTGAAAGTAGTCGCCAGTCAATTTCGGGTGGTTACAACCCACCCAGGCGCAAGTAAAAGAGAGAGTGAAGGGGCATCGCAGGACAGCTGTGTGTGGTTTTGCCGGTAGCCGTTAGTCAGATGAAGATAAAGAAGAAGAGTGGTTTTCGGGGGGGATTTTTGTGTTTTTTTCGGGGATGTTTTCTTCCATTTGAGAGATATGAACTTATTCTGCGTGATCGTTTAAATATATTTAAAAAATAGTAGGAAAGCTTCTATAAATACTATACCAAAACCATATATTTGTAAAATAAATCTTGGCTTTAAAGCAGAAGATATTTCAATGGTCTATGGACAATTTCAATAACTGAATTTGGGATAGCAATCCCTGTTTTTCTGTTTCCCGGCGGATTATTAGCTTGTTAGCCTTATGACTCACGCTGCCATCCCTGGGGACTCATATCGCAACAGGAAGTAACTATTATATAACGTCAAATGGGCCAGGACAGGAGGGGGACACAGCAGGACGTTGGAGTTGGGCACGCACCTTTTGCTGTCCCACACAGTTTCCCTCTCTACATTTTCCCTTTTCGGTTTCTTTTTTGGCCTGCCAGCATCATTTTTTATTTATTTATGCCATCGACAGAGCTCACGTGAGAGGTGGCGGCGGCAGGTGTTAGATGAAATGGAAAGTACACTCGAGAGAATATTTGGAGCACGTGCTTGCCTGGCTATGGCAGCAAGTATACTTCAGCACTTGGTGTGATTTTATTTACATCGAAAGATGCACAATATCGTAGGGAATTTTCCCAAGGAAAAGCCAAAGGAGACAGGCCGACGCCTGACTGACCGACCGACCGAACGATTGGCAAATATTTATGCTCGCAATCTCTAGACTTGTCGTAGGGAAACGAGGTCACCGCCGGGGGAGGGGAACGACGAGCCATTAGATGGAGACGGATAGTGAGCCGGGGATTTATGTAAGCCGCAGCCAAGCTGGGACTATGGGCACATCCTCCGCTGGAGCTTAGCTAATGGCAATCCAACAGGAAGCAAGCTGCGATTCTTTAGCCTCGTAAAATCGAAACGCAAATTACCAAAACAAAATACCCAAATTATGCGTGTGGATATATATATGTATATGTATATATACATATGTATAGTATCAATGGAAAGGCCACAAATTTGTTTATTTTGCATACGATAAGTAGAGGGAATTTATGAAGACGCCAAACGAAACAGTGGGTTTGTTCCAACAAATATTTATAGGCAATTTAGGAGCTATTTTAATATTTTCAGTCAAGATGGGATATTTAAAAAGTCACTGTTTGAGTTGATAAATATTTAATTAAATTTGAGATAAATAAAATGAGTTTTCTATAGTTTCCGCCTCAGTGTTATTGCCTCCTGGCAACGATAACATAACAGGACGCAGAAGCCTGCCTCCTCAAGAATACCGGTAACAAGAAAAGCAAGCTTTGATAAGCAGAGCTAAGCACTTCCACTGAACCGTCAAAATAACTGGCAAAACAGACTCGGCGAGGAGGCAACAAAATCGAGATGGTTACCAATTTTACGAGCTTTTCCAGACATACCAACGAATAGCAAAGCTTTAAAAAATAAAGTAGGCAGAATGTTTACAGTAAAAAATAATGTTTGGGGTTTAGAATCAGTTATCAATTGAAATTCTCAGAGAATAAATACACAATATAGTCAAAACTCGAATTAAGGGCGGCAAGATGATAGACATCCTGTCGCTGCCTCGCCGGAACAAGGTGTCCGGTAATCCGGCACTTTTAAAGATGCTCTCCTCGTACAAGACCGGGCTGCCCATCAACAGTCTGCCCGGCTGGGAGCTGATACCCCTTAACTGCAAGCTGCCCATGCTCAAGTGTCCTGGGAATCAGGTTATATTCTCCAAGAATAAGATCGGACAATCGGTAAGTGAAGAACCAAAGATAGCTAAGCCTCAAAGCAATCAGATTCTCTCTAATAAATCCTGATAAATTTCGTATAAATCCTTATCCAGTTCAAGAGCGGCATGCAGGAGTTCGTGTCCTCGGTCACGGAGCACATTCCCGAGTACAATCCGCTGCACGACTCCAACCTGAAGACCTTCTACTCCAACGAGCGCAATTTGAAGCGCCTGCGCGAGAACGGCGAGATCACGGAGGACAACGATGTGATCTGCAATCTGAAGGACTTCAACCGGCACCGCCAGGAGCTACACAAATCGCAGCTCTACTACATCCTGCAGGCGTACAAGAGGCGCGAGCAGGAGCAGTATGATCGCATGCTGATCGCCAATGCCGAGTCCATAACGAAGCGGGATCACCAGAATCTGGCGGCTCGCCACCAGAGCACCGACCAGGTGCTGGTCCGGAAGCAGCAGCTGGAGGCCGAGCGTCACGAGCGGAAGGTGCATCTCCTGAACATTACGTACGAGAAGTTCAAGCGGCTCGAGAACCTGGCCACCATGCAGAACTTCCTGCTGGAGCACCGCAAGATGCTGACGAACATTCGAGTGGCCGCGCACATCAGCATGTGCCAGGACCTGCAGCGGAAGGAACTGATCAAGCAGAAGAAGCTCTTCCAGTTCAAGAAGGACCGCTTCAACAAGAACATGCGGCTGCTGAGGAAACAGCGACTGATCAAGAACACCGAACACCAGATCCAGTCCTGGCACAAGCGCTTGGACGAGCGCATTGCCCAGCAGGGCCGCATCAACTACCTGCTGCAGGACGTGGAGAAGGAGCGGGCGAAGTTCATCGAGAGACACAAGGCCCTGTACAGGGAGAAGTGGCAGAAGATTCAGGACGATATCAAGGAGCGCTCCCGCCAATCCAAAGCCGCTCGCAAGCCCAAGAGGAGTGGAAAGCGGCGCAGGCCAAAGCGGCCACCTCCGTCGCAGGTGTCGAAGCACACCTTCTGCGACGAGTACGAGGCCACCTTTGAGGGTCTGCTGGACAACGATCTGTGCTATGCTCTGAATGCCGCCATTGCCATGGAGGGCCAAACGCCGCTGACCTTTGCTCCCGATGATCCCATCTACAAGGCGGCCCGCTACATTCTCGATCACATAGTCACCGGCTTCAACGACGATCTCAGCGAGGACGACTGTGCCCTTCTGGTACTCAGTTCACGCATCCAGGAGTTTATCTGCGATGCCAAGAGATATGTGCACTCGGTGAGTAGATTAGGGGCATCATTTAGGAGTAATCTCGAGCCTTTTCCCTCGTTCTGCAGAAAGCCGCCCAGATCATTGGCTTTGCGAGGGACCACTGCGCCATTGATGTGCCCACATCGTTGACCAGGTCAGCGGCACCGCAAAAGAATCATTCGCGCGCCTCGCACGTATCCTTCAGCGGCGTGGCCAGCACCATTGGCGTGGGCAGCTACGAGATCCATCCGTTTGTGGATGTCCGTCCGTGCTCGGACCGCAGGCCCACGCCGGCGGGTTCATTGGCCTCGCTGGCGGTCAGCCAGATTGGCGAGCGGGTGATCCAGGACAGATCGCGAATGCCGCATCTTAAGCGCAACCAGATCGTGTACATCGAGCACTATCTGGTGAAGTTCAAGCGGGACTTGCTGGTGGGCCTGGACAAGTTGGTCTTTGCGGCCATTCAGTGTCATTTCGAGAACCAGATGATGGAGGTGCGCGAGGAGCTGCTGGCCCTGGACAGGAACTATCTGTTCGATCAGATTGCCCGGGGCATACTCAGCTATGCAGTGAATCCACTTAACTATCAGGCGGTGCTCAAGCTGAGCGTGAGCGTGCTGTCCCACGAGGTCATTTGGGAGCTGCAACAGACGATGCTCAAGCCGGGCGTAGATCCGCGTGGCATGAACCATCCCATGTCCTGTGGCACAGAAAGGGACCGCGAGAATCTGGCCCTCTGCATTCCTTAGAAGGAGGAGGAGCAGCGGAATTACCTGCCAACAAATTTCCCGTGATAACTGGCGACTCTTCCGAGTCCATTCTTGTTTTTCTGGGTCAACAGATCTACCAAATTCCCTGTGCTGTTTGTTGTCAATTTGTTGTTGAATAAAATATGTTAATTGTTGAGCAAAAATGAATTAGGAACAATTACCGAAAAGTAGCTCTAGGTTAAGTTCAAATAGCTCTTAATTTGCATGTCTTTAAGGCGCTCTTGCATATACAATTAATGTTAAATAGTACAGAGAATCACTCACCGCTGCAGCTTTTGGTGTTAGTTGACAGATTTCGTCGTTTTCCTTTTAGATTTCAAGTGTAAACAGAAACGCAACCGATTTAAGACAATTTTGGAGCATGTGCAACAGCTGTCAAAAGGCAAAAACAGCTGTTTTTTCCCAGGGATGGGGATACTTCCGATAAGGACTATCGATTTCAGGAATGCCTAGCCATGCCATCGATAGGTAACGTGCATTTCGCCAGCGAAATTTGAATTTGAATATATTTAAATCCGCCTTAAAATTAGTTTTCGCAGTTGTAGAGGTATAGTTGGTACTTTGGAACTTATTTTATTTTGAAACTAAAAGACAAAACTAGCATATTCACACCAAAACCAAAATGACTTGCCATTTAATTCTTTTAATCATTTTCCAAACATCATAATGAGTTTAGATTTCTTTAAACTTACCCAATTTTTTATAAATAAATGCCAAAAAAAATTTATATTTTCCGTGGAAACTTCCAAATTTAACACTTGTCAACGCTCCACAACCCAACTTTGCAAATGTGAATATATATACCCAAAAAAACCAAGAAAAGCAAATGTAATACAACAAAAGTTTAATTTTAATTGTATTTAAACAAGGTATTTCCAAGTTTCAAATATATTTCCTTTAGTGAAATACCACCCAAGACCATAATGAAATGGTGATGAATGCACCTCTTTGAAAATACGTTTAAGCCGGCCATAGTTGTTATCCAATCAATAATCATTTGCATGTATAATAACAACCTTAATGCTATATAAATAAAAAATTTCACGTTCCTAAAAATAGTTCCAAAAGAGCGGCGAAAGCGACAGGCGGCCGAGCAGTGCCAGATACAAAAACTAGATTTATCCTTAAGTTTAAAGTGAGTGAGTGAAAATAGTACGGCGAATATAGCGAAAAAGGATTCAAAATATTGGTGAAATTGCAAGAGTATAGAAACATTACAAATCTGAAATCAAAATGGTTAATTTATACTCTCTTGATAATTCCGAAAATTATAAAAATTGCGTCAAACAATCAAATTCAAAATTCATATATTCAATATTCCACCTCAGTTGAACCAAATGCATTTCCGTATACGAAATATTGAATATTTCTAGAAAGGTTTCTAATCATGACCCTGTCTGCACAAAGTTTGCTTGCTGCTTTAATAAAGTGAAACATGTGTTGCGACTTAATTTCAATAATTACACTGCCAGAAAAGGGACAAACACAAGAGTACTAGCTGAAATCAATCGCTAACTTAAATGTTTCCCCTAATTTTTAATTTAGAACAGAAGAAAACAAGATGACACCCAATCCCAATCAAAACTTTACACATGAGGAGGAGGTGGAGGATTGGACGAAGCCATCGGGTGTGCTTTTTGAGAGCGATGTGACGACTGACGACGGTGCTCTGTCGACCTATACCGGCGAATTCAAGCAGGCCCAGGCCTGGAAGAGGCCTCTGGTGTGGGGCAATATAATCATTTTTACAGTCACACATCTGGCTTCGTTATACGGAGGTTACCTGTTGTTCACAGATACCAAGCCTGCCACCATGCTATTTGGTTAGTATAGCCCCTTGTCCAATTCCTTCTTTCTGCTTATGGTCTTTTTCCCCCTCGCACTGTGTCCCTTAGCATTCGTGATGTACTGCCTCGGCATGCTGGGAATTACGGCTGGCGCCCACCGTCTCTGGTCTCATCGTTCCTTTAAGGCCAAGTGGCCGGCTCGCCTCTTCCTGGCCATCTTAAATTGTATCTCCTTTCAAGACTCCATCTATTATTGGGTGCGGGATCACAGGATGCACCACAAATACTCGGAAACGGATGCCGATCCGCACAATACTTCCAGGGGTTTCTTCTACTCGCACATTGGCTGGCTGCTGGTGAGGAAGCATCCGGATGTGACGATAAAGGGCAAGGGATTGGATCTCTCCGACCTCCATGCCGACCCCATTGTGATGTTTCAACACAAGTAAGTATAGAATTCGATTTTCATGCTCCCTGAAGAACCGAAAATGCATATCCCCCGTGAATTTCCCTTTAAGTCTACTTTTCCTTGAACTTTTGTGAGACAAACATTTACAACTATTTATTGCACTTACTTTAGGTACTACTATTACCTCATGCCGCTGGGCTGCTTCATCCTGCCCACCCTAATTCCCTGGCTGTGTTGGAACGAGACACTGGCCAGCTCCTACTTCGTGGCAGCCATGTTCCGCTGGTGCGTCCAGTTGAACATGACCTGGATGGTGAACAGCTCGGCCCATGCCTGGGGTGGCAAGCCCTACGACAAGTAAGACTGGACTGGCGAATGGAGAGTCGCAGCAGCTTACCTCATTTTTGTTTTCTTTTTTTTACCCCCCACAGAGGCATGAATCCCTCGCAGAACTCCTTCGTTTCGCTTATGACCTTCGGAGAGGGCTGGCACAACTATCACCACGTGTTCCCCTGGGACTATAGGACGGCCGAATGGGGTGGCTACACCCTCAGTCACGCCACCCTCCTGATCGATCTCTTCGCCAAGATCGGCTGGGCCTACGACCTTAAAACGGTGACGCCGGAGATGATCAAGAAGCGGAGTCAGCGGACGGGCGACGGAACTCATGAACTATACGGCGAGAAGGTGGTTCCTAGCGTTGCTAAGAAGATAATGTGATTTATCCTAAGAGGGGGGCTATCTTGGTTATGTAGATTAATTTTGTTTGGATTCATTTCTATTCTATCTATCAATATACACTTATATTTATGATATGAAGAGGTTGGCATACTTAATAAAATTTTAAGAGGGCATAGCTAAACCAAAACGGATTTCGTATTAATATTACATTTTAATGAGGAACAAATCTTGATTTGGACTTGGACTTTACTGTAAAATCGATACAATAACAGCTTTGCTCCCTTGTAAGCAAAGAACATTTTTATAATATCTGTGTGATAGTTCAATGGAACTTCAAGCCTTTAATTTTATGACATTCATTAGTCCACATTCAAGTGAAAAGCGTGATTGAAGTGTGTGCATAATTACCCGGCTGTGTGTCCCACTCGATGAATTAACAAAAGCTTAATCAAAGCAATAAATTACCTTTTTTTTCAGTCAGCTGCAAAAAGAATTTGAAAGCTTCCAACTTGAATACCAAACAAAAAGTAGTTGCAAGAATCAGGCCTTTGAAGATTTTCAATTAACTTTATGTGTGGTCTAGAGCTTAACCTAGTGTGTGTATTGAATTATTTCGGAAAACTGAACGGCGTCCCATAGGGGTACATCATGGAGTTGTAGGGAGCGCCCGGGGCGCCCAGCAGGGGAAACGGAAACACTTGCGGTGGCAGACCGGCAGCAGCAGAGGTTTTGCTTTTTGAGCCGCGCTTTCGTTTCGGAGGTGCTGCTGGCTGCTCGTCACTGGATTCCGATGCAGCTTCGCTTTCGCTGCTGGCCTCCGTTGCCTCATCTTCGTCGTCATCCTCATCTTCATCATCATCGTCGTCGTCGTCATCCTTTGGTTCAATCTTCATGCGCTTCTGCGGCGTCTTTTTGGCCGCCACCTTCTTGGTGTTGGCCACCTTTTTGTCCTTTTTGGCCTTTACTGGAGTAACTGGTATGGAAGATGCAGCTGCAGATGCTGGAACAGCAGCGGGGAAGGCGAATCGTTGCTGATCGCCAGGAAAAGACGACATCTGCTGCATGATAAACTCCATGAATGCCTGCATGGCAATGTTGAGGTTGGGCGGACTGGGACAGCTTTTGAGGCTGTGGTATCGGCCGGAGCAATTCCGGCAGATCATTTGGCAGTTGAAGGAGGTGTGACCCTGAAAGGAAGATATTATAAGTCAAGTTTGGTAAATAAGCGATGGCCAGGACCCACCTTCTTATCGCAGAGACCGCACACATCTATGGCTTTGTTTTTGCTTCTGCTTTTGCCGGCCTTCTTGTCCTTTTTGCCCTCAGCCTCGGTGCTTTGCTCCTCCTCCTCCTCCTCTTCGTCCGTTATAGTGAACTGGCGTTCTTGGGAGCCCATGCAGACCACATCCTCCTCGGAGGCCGCTTTCTTCAGTTTCCTGGAGGTGGACTTGCTACCAGCAGTTGCCTGACCCTTCTCCTTGGCAGCCTGTTTGCTCTTCGCTGGCGGCGGCGGCGGACTCTCGTCGTCGTCTTCATCGGAATCCGAGGATGAAGCCTCAGAGGATGATGAGACCGGTGGCGGCTTTGCAGTCGCCACGGTTGGTTTGCTGACCTTCGTTTTGGGCGAGACGGCGGCCACAGCGGCGGGTTTGCCTTTTACGGCTTCTCCAGGCTCCGGTTCGGATTCCTCTTCCTCCGAGGAGGAGGAACTAGACGAGCTTTCGTCCTTTTTCGGTGTCTTGGGCTCCGACTTGGCAACCGCTTTGGGTTCCTGTTTAAGCTTCGGCATTAGCTCCTTTTCTTTTTTTATATTAATCAGCGGCATCTGGGGCGGCTGCTCTTCCACAACAGGAGGAGGTGTCTCTGCAGGCGGCGCTATGGCGTTGCTGAAGGCAATGTTGGCAGGTGGAAGGCTCTCCTGTCTGTGTGAGGATGGAGCCGGCGATGTGGCTACCGGTGGGTGAGCAGCAGCTGCAGCTGGGGGATCCTCGGTGAAGTCACCCACGTTATCGTAGTACAGCATGTGACTGCGTGTGGGGCTCTTGGCTTGATCTTTGGCGTGCCACGAGTTGTTGCGTCCACGACCACGGCTGCGTCTACCTCGACCACCACCACTTCTTCCTCTGCCGCCTCCCTTGTTCCGCTGCTGATTATCCGGCTGCTGCTGGGGATCCCGAAACTTGTTGAAGGACTCCTCTCTGCCCCGCCCAGCACCAACGCCACCCGGCACGTTGCCATTGCTGTGATTGTGATTCCTTGGCACCTGACCGCCGCCACCTATGTGTCCACGATCGGCCCAATTGCCATTGGATTGATGGCTGGGCGCCTGGTGACCGCCTCTAGAGTCGCCGCCGCTGCGTCTCTGCTGGTTATTGCTGTAGAAGTGGGGCCGGGAGTGGTTCCAGCCTCCGGAATGTCCTCCCCCGTTGTTCATCGTGGATATTTTTAATTTTTACGAACCGCCTCGGCGCACGTGTTGAGTCGATTGCCGATAGACAGCTATCGGAGCAAGCGCTGGCGATCAAGCGATTTTAAAGCCAAATCTGTCTATTAATCAGGCTCAAATTGTTGCTGTTTTAAGCACCTGTGTAGAGTGTAAACTAAATTGGAGCAGAAAAAGGACCACAAAGCCAGGGTTAATTGTGGCTTTAAACTGGAACAAGCTTATATCGAACTAAATATCCTAGCTTTTTCCCGTCACTTTCGATAGCAGCAGCGCTTGGGCCTATCGAAGTCTGGGGCACCTCTAGCAACAATTCTCGGGAGCAACAAATTGGAAAAATGGAGCATAACAAGAAGCCGTTCTTTGAAAACCCCCGATACCTTGAGAAAAAGCACAAAAGGGAGCTGGAAACTCGCACAAAGACCTGGGGCACGGTCAAGTTCAAACCGCAGGCGTACAGATCCAATAAACCCGCCTTCACGCCGCCCGATCCGCAGGCCACAGCGAAACCCTGGCAGCACGTGAAGAACGACATAATCGACGATTCGGAGGAATTGAGCCATGCCAGTCGCCTGGATGTGGACAGCGAGGACGCCAGGCAGTTCATGCAGCAGCGGGAGCAGAACCATCGGCGCAACATCATCGAGACCAGTCGATCGGAGCCCACCAAGTGGGAAACCTTTGACGATGAGCAGCCCTCTACCTCTAACAAGCTAAAGAAGAGGGAGAAGGAGAAGTCCAAATTTTGGCAGTGCGACAAGTCCAAGGGCGAGCTGCCCACGGACGCCAAGAACTTCACATTCAGGGAACGCAACTTTTTCCGCCGAAAGATAACGATGGGTCTAGCGGTGGGTGGCGTAAGTCTCGAAAGTGCCATACAAGATTTGAAGAAAAACCATAGGCAGCTGCAGCTTCAGCCAGTAGCCACCAATAGATTCAATACAAAAGACTCTAATCCGGCTGAAAAGGTCAAAAGCAATCCTTTTCCGAAAAGCAGTAAGCCCTTCCAGGACCGCAAGGCCTTTCAGAAGGGGAGCAAGCCTTTTCAGAAGGGGAGCAAGCCCTTTCAGAAGGGTGGCAAGCCCTTCCAGAAAGGAGGCAAGGGAAAAAAGTCCCAAGAGGAATAATAGTTAACTACAATTAAAGCCTAGAAATAAATGAAATAAAGCTAAATTTCCAACTGTTTTTTTAAAGGTGGAACAACATAAAATCGACCTGTTCCCAGCTCTGTTAAGCCTCCCGTTTTCCGGAAAAACCAAAGACCATAGGTTAATCGGGTGACAAATCAGAAATGTATACACAACATTACTACACACTTTATGTAAATCTTAGAAGTAGAGTGGTACAAATACATGTGGAATAGGTCGGCGAAAATAAATAAACTAAACAGAACGCAAGGAGGGGTGGAGGAGGGGGAGATTGAAGCGGCGCAATGGATACCAGATCCAGCAGTATGGATCCTCATCGGCCTTCAGCCATTGGCATTGGCATTGGCCACCTTGGCGATGAGCTGATTGAACTTGCCGTTGCTGGTGAGCGGCTTCTTGGCCAGACGCACTTGCTCCGGCGAGTGCTGCAGAAAGTAAACGACGATAAATTCGAGTGTTTGATTGGCTTCCTTGGGGTACATCATGTTGAAGGTATAGTAGTAGCAGATCAGCTGGGCCAATATGTCCGGCAGGTCGTTGTCCTTGGCCCCGAACGTGGCCATTATCTGGCCCTCGATATAAACCATAGCCTCCAGCTGCGATTGCATGACGCCGTCATCATCCGTGGTTTTGGGCGTATCTGCGGGAAAAACAAAAAAATTATATTTAGCTCAAGTTTATATAAAAACGTAGCTTTTTAAGATACTCACTGACTAGAGCCACCCAGGGGGCATTTGTGGGATTCATATTCTGCAGCGCCTCCTTGGACAAGGGACCGTTCTCCAGCTGCTTGAAGATGTAGTCGGGATCTTCATTGAAATGGTATGCAATGCCGCGCACCAAATTGGCATTCGACTCCTCCTCCAGGGCACTGATCTTTTTGTTCTTCGATCCCTTGAAGAACTTAAAGAAGCGCTCCTTCTCGCCGGCCAGACGCTTCTCCAACAAACGGGGATCGATGGACATGAGCAGCTCAAAGTGTTGGTACAACACCGCCTTGTCAAATATATACGGCCAGTTCTCCTTGATGGCCGTAATGTCGGGGATCTTTTCGCTGTTGTTGAAGAAGGCGCGCTGGAGCGGAAAGCACTCCTTCATGTACTCGACAACAGTGGAGGGTTCCAGGGGTGAGCTACCGCGGTAGCTGGAGATGAGCAGCTCCTTTTTCTGCTCTAGATCTCGGTTGAGGGCCAACGCCTTGGCATCGCCATTGGAGGCGGCTGCGGCTCCACCGTATTTGCGCTTCTTGCCGGAAGAGATGTGTATTTCAAAGGTGCCGGAACTGGCACGCTTTTGCGGCTTGTTGAGCGCATTGTTCCGGTTGATCATCTTCGAGATGAGCGACTGCGGTGTGGTGGCTATGAACTGGCCCTCGCGATCCTTCTCAAGCAGGGAGTCGGGGTACTTTTCGGCTGCCTGCTGTGCCACCTGGCGGAACACTCGAATGGGTATGTGCACCGATATTTCGCGCAGCTCCTCCACCAAGACGTTGCCCAGCGTATTTAGGCGCTTGCCCAGGCTACCCTTGCCCCGGAGCAGCTTCATAATGTCCCCAGGTACCTTGCTCCATGGTATCGAGAAGTCTTTGAACAGCGCCGAGGTCTTGGCACTCGACGGGGTGACGCTGGACAACGACAAGGTCTCATCGTTGGACACCGTCGAGTCATTGGGATTTGAGACAATACTGTTGTTGGCATAGAAGCTGGGATCTACCGAGCTGCCGGCGCGTTCCGAGCGGTTTAGCGGTGATGGTGGCGGCAGCACCACGTACTCCTCCGATTCGGCAAGGAGCATGAGCAGTATCTTCTCCTTGGCGGCGAACAGGAGCACGTCGTCCTCGCAGATCTCGCAGCCGTTGCTCTCCAGGACAATTGTACTGCCGACAAGGCCGTATTTGTGGGCTAATATTAGATGAAAAGGGAGTTTATTTATATTATTTGCCATAAATAATTGTATTTATCTAACAGATACTTTTTTAGATTAAGATATTAATACCAGATACTTTTTTAGATTTAGATATTTTTAAATTTAGATATTTTTAGAATAATATTTAACAAAAAATTTAATAGTTTCATTATTTATTCCCATTTTAGGGGAATTGTTAAAAAATAGGTTTTTTAAACAAGAAAAGAAGCCAACTTTGGCACCTCCTTTGCATTTTAAAAATTATATATTAAGAAGTAAAAAATTAACAAATAGGCCAAAAATGCTTCTGACTGAAATTATAATACCCTCAAGGGGTTATTAAAATTTGTAATATTTATCTTTAATTTTTTATGATAATTTCCATGTTTCGAAATATAATAACTGAGCCAAAAAAGCGTTAATTTCAATTCGGAAAGATTTTCTGTGTTTGTTTTTTCTGTGTTAACAAATTACATATTAATTTAAAAATTTTAAGAAATCAAAATTTTGGTCAATTTTTTTCAATTTTTACGATGTAACCCCTTATAAAATTTTGAAAAAATTAAAAAAAAAAAAAATCCACCGAACATGGCTGTATGAACTCGCCTTTTGATGCTGATCAAGAATATATATGATTTATAGGGTCGGAAACGACTCCTTCACTTCAAAAAATAATAATAATAAAATTAGAGATGCCCCTACCTTTCTCAATCACATCCTTTCGCGTCGGCAAGGACATAAAGGTCTTCTTGTTCTTTCGGTCGGCACTACATATGGTAATCAATACTTTCTCAGCCAGCTCTGTCCTGGGCTTGCCTGCCTCGTCCTTCCTCTGCTCCTCCTCCCTCTTCTGGCCAGGCAGTGGCCCAGTGGAATGTGTAGCTGTAGATTCTGTAAACACACAGGAATAGTTTAATGCCGAATCTGGGCAGTATGTGTATATTTTCTCACCGCAGCAGCTCTCTGGCTTTTTTGCTCCTCCTGTTTGTACACCATTTTCGATTGTTGTTGCCTTCGCCGGCGCTTGGCTTGCGTTTTGATTCGGATTCTGGTGGTGGCCCGGCGGCGTCTGTTGCTGTTGCTGCTGCTGTGGCTTCATCTTCATCTCGCCGGCGGCGTGGGCGGACGTGGGCGCTGCGGTGGCGACGTCCATTATTTATTTTGTATTTTTATTCGTCCAACCAAGCCTCCAAGCCTTTTTTCTCATTTAGCAGGGCTGCACAAACATTGATGTTGCTATCGATTGCATCGATACCACCTTCCCCTCGAAGGCAGCTGGTCAGCACTGTTGGTGCTGCCAGACTGTCAGACTGGATACAAATTGTAGGTTTTTTATTTCGTTTTTAACTGCTTTTCGGAGTTGTAAAACTTCGAGTTGCGTAAACTTCCCTCTGGGAAGAATCTAATTTACGCTGAAAAGCCGTAAAGCACTTGGGAAAGTCTTGGTAGGAATCAAGTATCCTTTTTCAGCGGAGCTGCCAGACAACTTATAACGTAACGTAACGATTATTTAATAACGTTTCATCGATAGCACTATCGATAATTATAAGAATCACCATCGATTCGAACGATCGCTGCACGGTCACGCAGCACGATCGCATTTATTTTTGTTTTCCTTGGTTTCCGTGGTTTTTCTTCACTTAAAACTTACCGCAAACCGAGAAGCAACAGCCTCGCAGCACGGAAAATCTCAGCAAAGAAACGGCCACGATGCTTTGATCAGTCCATCGATCGGATCCTCCAAACAAGGAGCGGCTAATTCGCGGAGCTCCCATTAAAATTCACCAAAGGCAGCTGCTTAATGTTTTTTATAAGAGGATAATTACATAGTTTAGCTCTCCACGCACGCCCCGCGCACAATGCAAATGTGAGTAGTTGTGACCAACAAAAATGGAATAACAATATAATCCCCCCCTAGAAAGCACCTGAAACCCGCGATCTTGTACCTATGGGTGATCCTGCCCCTTCTTTTTGTGAGCGAAACAGACGCCAGTGCGACGAAGCTGGATGTGGAGCTGGAGGCCATCAATGGCACGCTCAACTACCGGCTGTACGCCAAGAAGGGCAAGGACGATAAGCCCTGGTTTGACGGCCTGGACAGCTCGCACATTCAGTGCGTGCGACGAGCGCCCTGCTACAGCACTTCCAATGCCACCAATACCTGCTTCGGCTCCAAGTTGCCCTACGACCAGAGCAGTCTCTACTTGACCGATTTCCACACCGAGAAGGAGCTGAACGAGAAGCTCAATGATTACTATGCCCTCAGGCATGTGCCCAAGTGCTGGGCGGCCATACAGGTGAGAGCGTTGTTCACTTTACCTAGTTTTCCTACCTAAAACCCAGAAATAATCCCGTTTTACAGCCCTTTTTGTGCGCCGTCTTCAAGCCCAAATGTGAGACAATCAACGGCCAGGAAATGGTCTACCTGCCTTCCTACGAAATGTGCCGGATTACCTTGGAACCGTGTCGCATACTGTACAACACGACGTTTTTCCCAAAATTCCTGCGCTGCAACGAGACGCTCTTTCCCATGAAATGCACGAACGGAGCGCGTGGCATGAAATTTAATGTTACGGGCCAGTGTCTGAGTCCATTGGTGTCCACGGACACCGCAGCCAGCTATTATCCCGGCATCGAGGGCTGCGGCGTTAGGTGCAAGGATCCGTTGTACACGGACGATGAGCACCGGCAGATCCACAAGCTGATCGGCTGGGCGGGGAGCCTGTGCCTGCTCTCGAATCTCTTTGTGGTGGCCACGTTCTTCATTGACTGGCAGAACGCCAACAAGTATCCGGCTGTGATAGTGTTTTACATAAATCTGTGCTTCCTGATCGCCTGCGTAGGATGGCTGCTGCAGTTCACATCCGGTTCGCGGGAGGACATAGTGTGCCGCAAGGATGGCACACTGCGTCACTCGGAGCCCACGGCCGGGGAGAACCTCTCGTGCATTGTGATCTTTGTGCTGGTGTACTACTTCCTCACCGCCGGCATGGTCTGGTTCGTCTTCCTCACTTACGCCTGGCACTGGCGGGCCATGGGCCATGTCCAGGATCGCATCGATAAGAAGGGCTCGTACTTCCATTTGGTGGCCTGGTCCCTGCCCCTGGTGCTCACCATCACGACGATGGCGTTCAGCGAGGTGGATGGCAACAGCATCGTGGGCATCTGCTTTGTGGGCTACCTCAATCACCCGATGCGGGCGGGCCTGCTGCTGGGTCCGCTTTGCGGGGTGATCCTCATCGGCGGCTACTTCATCACGCGCGGCATGGTGATGCTCTTCGGGCTGAAGCACTTTGCCAACGACATAAAGTCGACTTCGGCCAGCAACAAGATCCACTTGATCATCATGCGAATGGGTGTTTGTGCCCTGCTCACCCTGGTCTTTATCCTGGTGGCCATTGCCTGCCATGTCACGGAGTTTCGGCACGCCGAAGCCTGGGCCCAGAGCTTCAGGCAGTTTATAATGTGAGTTTAAGGACAACTGGGTGATCCTGATTCTAGCTAAAATACTCCCATTGCAGTTGCCAAATCTCTTCGGTTTTCGAGGAGAAGAGCTCGTGTCGCCTGGAGCATCGACCCAGTGTGGGCGTCCTGCAGCTGCATCTGCTGTGCCTCTTCAGCTCCGGCATTGTCATGTCCACCTGGTGCTGGACACCGTCCTCCATTGAGACCTGGAAGCGGTATATCCGAAAGTACGTACGAAAATCGTTTTTATTCGGATTTATTTGTTAATTTTTCTTGCTTTCTGCAGAAAATGCGGCAAGGAGGTGATCGAAGAGGTGAAAATGCCCAAACACAAGGTAATTGCCCAGACGTGGGCCAAGCGCAAGGACTTTGAGGACAAGGGCCGGCTCTCCATAACGCTGTACAACACCCACACGGACCCGGTGGGCCTCAACTTTGATGTGAACGATCTGAACTCCTCGGAAACGAACGACATCTCCTCCACGTGGGCCGCCTACCTGCCGCAGTGCGTGAAACGACGCATGGCCTTGACAGGAGCCGCGGCCGGGGGCGGAGGAACAGGTAATTCGTCGAGCCACGGACCGCGCAAGAATTCCCTGGACTCTGAGATCAGTGTGAGTGTTCGTCATGTCTCCGTGGAGTCGCGTCGCAATTCGGTGGACTCTCAGGTGTCTGTGAAAATCGCTGAAATGAAAACCAAAGTGGCATCCAGATCAAGGGGAAAGCATGGAGGCGGCGGCGGCGGCAACAAGAGAAGCCACCGAAGACGCGACTACATAGCAGCGGCCACGGGCCGAAGCAGCCGCCGCAGGGAGAGCAGCACCTCAGTGGAGTCGCAGGTCATTGCCCTGAAGAAGACCACCTACCCGAATGCTAGTCACAAAGTGGGCCTCTTTGCCCATCACAGTTCCAAAAAGCAGCAGCACGGCAGCTCCATGAAGCGGCGGTCGGGGAACGCGGGCCTGGATCCCTCCATTCTAAACGAGTTTCTGCAGAAGAACGGTGACTTCATCCTGCCCTTCCTCCAGAATCAGGACATGAGCTCCAGCTCCGAGGAAGAGAACTCCCGCGCTTCCCTCAAGATACAGGATCTCAATGTGGTTGTGAAGCAGCAGCAGCAGGAGGAGGAAGACGACGAGGAGGAGCGGCTCAGTGAGGATGGTGGCATCCAGATTGAGGAGCTGCCCAATAGCAAGCAGGCCGTCTTGGAGAACTTCCTCAAGAACATGAAGAAATCAAACGAATCCAACGGTCACTCCCGGCACTCGGCAAGGAGTCGTCAGTCCAGGAAATCCCTCCGCAAGAGCCAGCCCAAATCCACGGGTCTGGAGCTCGACTTCAAACGGGATTATGGACGGAATTGCACGAATAACGATTCCCTCAGCTGCTCCTCCATGGAACTGGACGTGGCCCTGGATGTGGGCAGTCTGCTGAACAGCTCCTATTCGGGCATGTCCCTGGGGAAGCCGCAGAGCAGGAACAGCAAAACCAGCTGCGATGTGGGCATCCAGGCGAATCCGTTCGAGCTGGTGCCCACCTACGGCGACGAGGAGCTGCAGCAGGCCATGCGACTGCTGAATGCGGCCAGCCGGCAGAGGAATGAAGCGGCAGCCAACGATGATGGCGGCGGCACGGAGCTGCAGTCTTTGCTGGGTCTCTCCCAGCGGCAGCCGACGTTTATGAGCGAGTCGGACAAGCTCAAAATGCTGTTGCTGCCCTCGAAATAACAAGACTTGAAACAAAGCATTTACTTAAGCAACACTCGACTTTAAAATGTCCTTCAAAGGTTCTGTTTCGGTTTTAATGACGATTTAAAAGCTGATAATTTTATACATTAGACACAAAGAGCATGGAGCATGTCTGTGGTTAATCTACATATATTTTACAACATTCTTTTGGACTCCCTTTTAAAATACTTTAGATTGTCTCATTCCTTTAACATTTTTCTTTCAAACTAAAGCCATGGACACCAGAAAATTGTATACATTTCAGTTGAATCTAGCTTAGTTTCTTTTGTAATTTGAATTTGAGTCCTAGTCTCATATTTCACATGTATCCTTTACAGAAAAACAGGACAAGACAGGACAGGACAAGTATTGTAATTTGATATTTTTTTTTAATCATACAGAAAAAGTGATATTCCATCAAAGCAGAAGCCCTCTAAACAGAATGTAAAAACCGAAACAGACTTCCAAGCATATTTTTTTATGCTACATTTACACCTAAGCCCTGCGATAGTTGCTCCTTAATTGTTTTATTGAACAGATCAAGCGTGACTACAACGAATTACGAATACTCATACATTGTAAGAGCTACGAATATTATTTTCCAAAACTCTGCTCCTCTGATTTAAGCCAAGGAAAATGCTTAGAGTAATAGAGAGAGCGTTTTCCTTGGCAAGGACTTACAACTAGACTCTAGATTATATGTATAAGTACCCTAATGTACGATACAAAGTACATGCATGGATCGTACCTCTCAAAGTGCCTTTATAAGATTTACAAAATATTCTTAAAATGTTGTCTGTGTGACGAATAAAATGATTTTAAATCCTTACAAAAAGCTATTAATCATGGATAGAAGACAGATACACAATTTCAGTTATTTATCGATTATTTCGATATTTTAATGCCATATTTTCCTACACTTAAAATCTCGGTATATCAAAGTAGCTCTCAATACATCTTTCCTCTTCCTAACCCTGTTTGCTTTTCTGCTCCTTGAGCAGCTTGAACTCTGGGCCCCAGATCACCGTGTTGGCATACTCCCCGAGCAGATAGCACGCCAGGTTGAAGCCCACCAGCAGGGCCAGGAATAGGTAGCGCAGCGGCAGGGGCAACACCTCCAGAATCGGATAGACCCACTCGCCACTGAAGTAACGCACAATGTGCAGCCAGATGATGTAGAGCAGGATGAAGGAGAAGTTGCCCGCGAGGCCGGCCAGGCGGCTGGGGTAGCGACGGAAGCAGGTGAACAAGTCCATAATGGCCATAAGGGCCACATTGGTGTGCACCACGTGGTTCAGCCAGCTGCAAAAAAACAAGAAATGGGTTCAATTAAAGAGGTTCCTCTCTCTGGAAGCCCTAATGTACGTGCCTGGGAAAAATTGCATCCAGGGCCGAGGGAAAGATGAGCTCACGGTCCCACATGTAGACGACCCAGAACGACAGGCAAACATTGTGGGCCACTGGAAAGGCAAAGGCCGCAAAGATGTAATCCCGCAGAGATCTCAGCTTGGACTTTGGCTCGGCGGTGACTGTGTTGTCGCCAAAGAGATCGTTGAGCAGGGCCAGTGTGTGGTAAATGGCCTGCAGGATGACGTCCAGGAAGGTGAGGTATTTGAATTTGCCACCCCATCGGGCCTTCAGTTCGGCCACCTCGTCCTCCTCCACCAAGTCCTTGGGCCAGTGCACCCGGAAGTAGTGGTAGTAAATGCCGTAGGAGAATTGAGCTGCGGCCAGCAGGTGCAGCAGAAAGCGCAGGTATTTGAAGGCTCCGCTCGTGTAGGCATCGTTGCAGGTGTCCAGCCGGGCGACTGTGGCCTCGGCAGCCTCCTTGGCGGCTTGGAAATCGCGCACTTGCTTCTTGCTCTTGGCCATGGTTGCCGGAAAAACAGGCGCCGGGCTGTCACGTCGCTCTTAACAAAACAAATAAAAGCTTGCACAGCTGATTGGGGCTGTTAGACACGACAGGGGAAACATTCAAAGCCAAACAAGTTGGCAGTCCTGCCAGATGGGCGCCATCTTTAAAAGGAAATGAAAATATATTAACGACTTCAAGGGTTTTTAGTCAAAAACTGGAGTTTTATTTGTATACTAGAATTGAATTACAGGTTACAACGCAGGTATTCAGAGATGGTGTGGTTGGTGTGTGTGTGCCTGTGCCTTGATATGATGGAGAAGGCAAATATATGTACGTACAAGTTCACTCAATTAAAATCTACAAGCTACTATAATCTCAAGTTCAATGCAAGTCGTATTAAGAATAGATTGAATATCATTAGCAAACGGGTTTCTGTATGAGTTTCACTTTCACATACAACTTGTGTATCTTGTTAAACTCTAAGCAAAGTACGTTTAAATCACTGAATCTTGGTCATGCGAAGATTACGAATCTTACGGTGCGCCGCCTTCCTAACTTAAGGTAACTCTCTGCTCTGCTCTGACCTTTTGCCTCGGAAAATGAAGTTATCTGTGAGGTAAATAACCGAAGCAGGACTCTTGTTTCTTTTATTAATCATTACTTGTATTTTGTGGCTAATCGAACGCGACTCTACGTGCAACAGAAAACGCCAGGGACACCAGCCTAGTTTATTTTGCGCTTGGCCAGCTTCACCTCCTTGGCCCAGACGGTGTTGTTAAGGAACTCGCCCAGCAGATACAGCGACAGCGTGAACCCGATGACGGCCACAAAGAAGAGAATGCGCTGCGGCAGCTGCAGCACCTCCAGCACTGGATACACCCAGACGCCGGAATAGTGCTTCACCACATGAATCCACACCAGGTAGGCGCCCATGAAGATGGCCAGTCCGGTGAGGCCCTGGCTTCGCTTGGGATATGATCGGTACGAGGTGAAGATCTCCAAGACGATGAAAACGACAATGTTGGTGTGCAGGACATGGTTGAGCCAGCTGTAAGAGGCAAAAATTAATTACTTTTTAGGTCAGTAGTGGAAGAGGGAAATAGGCTAGATGAGAAATGTATAGTCTCTTGTTTACATTGCTTAGTCTTAAGCACTTAGCTGCGGATAAATACTTTTATAAATTCAATTATAATGGTTTTACATTAGGCATTTGCCTCACGTATATGCAAACCACAAAAGCGACTTTGAATAAATTATCAACAACTTGAGGCAAAGTATATAGCAGTTTATGTGTGAGCTAAGAAAACAGAAGAACATATTTATATAGTAACTGAGCAGCAATTAAACGTTATGAAAGGGTTTAATGTCGTACATAATAGTTGACCTAGCATATTTTAGTTGACATTCAAACAATTAATGGATATAAACAAGATAATTATATGCTTATAAAGCTTATATAGCGCTAGGGATATCATAAGAGTTTAAAGAATAAGAAACTCTTAAAGAGAAATCGCCAAGTCTTCAAATAATGCTTTGTTTATAAACAAAAGAGGGCCATGCCTGCAATATAAACAAATGTGCTCCCTTTTCATTTGCTGCGCCTGATATGTCCCATGTGAAACCAAATTCTTGTAATAGAAACTCTGTCTTCTTTCCCCCTTTTTCCTCCTTGGCAAAACTCACCTCGGGAAGACGGGGTCCAGCACCTTGGGGAAGACCAGCTCTCGATCAATGGCGTACAGGGTCCAGAAGGTCACGCCCACATTAATGGCCACCGGAAAGGCCAGAGTGGCCATTAGCCAGTCCTTGAATCTGCGCACCGCTGGCGGCTTTTTGGGGGTCAGCTCGTTGGTTCCCACAAAATCGTTGACCAGCGAGACGGTGTAGTACAGCGCCTGAATTATCTGCAAGTGAACAAGCGAACAATAGACGTGTGTCAGATAATATGGTTCAATATGAAGGGTTGCTTAAGTGGAGTGGAAGGAATTAATGCACAGTAAACAAAAATGTTGCTTATAAATGTTATTTTTACTTGCTTTTAGTGGGAGCTTAAATAATATATATAATTGAATATGTATAATTTAATTTACAACTAAAATAAATATTTAGAAAATACTACATTTATTAAGAATTTCCCCCTGTGTAGCTTTAATTTGCGTGCTAAACCCAGTTAAACGGTTCGTCGACTGTGGAAAAAATCTAACCGCTGGCGAACTTTAAACCCCAGAAGCCTCCCCAGTTGTAAGCTATTGATTACCGCATCCAGGAACGTTAGATATTTGAATTTGCCCCCCCAGGGATGATGGATCCGCATCTCCGGCTCGCTGGTGGGAAACTCGACGTAGGTGTAGTCGTAATATATGCCATAGCTGAATTGGACGGCCGCGGTCAGGTGCAGCAGCGTCCGCAGGGCACCGAAGACGCCCTGGTACACGGAGTTCCCTCTGCCAGATGCCATTTTCCCTAGTTGCAGCTGCTGCTCTTGATTGATTTTTCACGCGCGGGGGGCACCAGGAGCACAACAAATAAACCGGTCGGTCTCGTCGCTGGAAATACTGTGCTGCCAACCCGCCCGTCGCCACCCTTAGAGGTACCAGTGTGACCCTGCCGCTGGAGAGAGAAAATCCCAGATGGTAGTATTTGGTGAGCTGCTAAGCACTGGTCACACTTTACCTTTTGTCTTTGATTAAACCGGCACATCGCACATCTATTCGTTTATTGTTTCAAAAACCACTGCATTTTGCTATATTTGCAAAGATCTCACTTGTTGTTGATGGTGTATTTGTTAATACCTACGCAGGCAACATGAAAACCGACTTATTGGCCCAGACTACCGACGATGCAGGTGCATCGGACGCAACTTCGGAGTATTCATTGGTATGTGTGTGTGTGTGTGTCTTTTGTTTTCTTTAATCAGCCCTTCGTATACCCTTACTTTTCCATATAAGGCTTGGTTATATAGAAAGAGTATAGAGACATCGGCCTACCGAAGATTCAAATCTTCCTTTCTTACTTTAATGAAGTAATATTCTATTTCAGCTCAGTTCCGAATCGCCTGATGGCGAAAATATGGAGAAACTGAGGGAAAAGATTATAAACCAAGACGTTATAATCCGTGATTTTGAGACAAAACTGACAGAAGCTGAAAAAAATATTATAAATCAGAACGAGAAGATCAAGATTTATGAAGCTACAATTAAGGACAAGAATGATTTGATCGAATTGATGAAAGAAACCAAAGAATTCGCGATTAAACAGTTAAAAAATGAAAACGCTTTCTTACAAATCGCTCTCGATTTCAGCAAGAATCCAACTTCAAACAAAAACGACGCAAATGCAGCAGATTCAGCTGAATTTGAGAAGAAATCAACTGAGATTGCAGATTTCCAGACTCTGCAGAAGCAATTAAAGGAAATCCAGTCTCAAAATGAAGCTCTTAAATATACTGTATGTCAGTTGAAGTCAAGAAATTTTAAACTAAAATCAAAGCTGGATGAAAATATTAGGGAAATGAACACCCTGGAAGCAAAATCAGCTACGGATGCAGAAGAGTTAAGAGCTAAGATTGCTGAACTAGAAAAGAACGCTGAAATATATAGGGTAAAGTCCGAAGAAAAGAACGCTATGCTTGCGGAAGGTGCGTCAAATGCTATAAATTCCCAAGTAACAGATGCACCATTTGTTTTACTAAACCATTCGAAAGTGCCCAATATAAAATTCATTAAAATCGGGGACGAAGACAAGCCGGCAATAGTTGAAAATATTCCCACTTTGGGTACCGATTGGATAGTAATTCTGCGTCGCTTTGATGGGAGTGTCGACTTTTCTAAATACTGGAGCAATAGCGTTGGTGACTTATCCGGGGAATTCTGGATTGGTTTTAAATCAATTCACAAACTGACCTCAAGTGTCCGACACGAATTGTACATTCAACTCGAGGACTTTGATGGCGTGACAGCTTACGCCAGATATGATAACTTCGTTGTTGGAAACTTTGAGGAGAACTATATCCTGAAGTCTTTAGGTTATTATTCGGGAAACGCTGGCGATGCTTTGCGGAGTCATGTTAAATCCAAAATGAATTATAAGGAATTTGATAAGAAATGGCGTTACTGGTGGTTCTCGAACAATAATGAATGGTGAGTAAATATATTGGAAGCTAATAAGTAAAGTTTGAAAGATTTAATATTTATCTAAATATATTTTCAGTTGCTTGACTGGTGAATATAAAAAATCGAAAGAAGCACTGACAAGCGAGTTGGGCATGTACTGGGGAAATTGGAATTTGGGAAAGCGTTATCCTCTGAAGGCCTGCAAAATGCTAATAAGACCCTACCCGAAATAAGCTTTCATTTTGTAATCTGTTTTCAATGTTAAATTCAAATAAACTTAATATTATTTAATATAAGGGAAAACAAACATTACTTTCACTCAATGCTGTAGCATGCTTTAATCCCTCTCACAACTCTTCATTAGTCCCATCTATACACAATATCCAAATTTACAAGCTTACCGCACAGAGGAAGGTCAGGAACTTGAATTTGCCGCCAAATGGCACCGCATTGGGCATATCGAGGTTGTGGAATATGTGAATGCCACAGTTGAATTGGAGGACGGCTGTGCGACCCTGGCGCTGGAGAGATGGTAGTGTTGTCGTTGAGCTGCTAAGCACTGGTCACACTTTCTCTTTTGTCTTTGATTAAACCGGCACACCTATTCGTTTATTGTTTCAAAATCCACTGCTATTGCTATATTTGCAAAGATCGCACTTGATGTTTATGGTACCTACGCAGGCAACATGAAAACCGACTTATTGGCCCAAACAACCGACGACGCAGGTGCATCGGACGCAACTTCGGAGTATTCATTGGTATGTGTGTGTGTTTTTGTTTTCTTTAGTCAGTCCTTCGTATGCCCTTACTTTTCGACATAAGGCTTGGTTATGAAGAAAGAGTATAGAGACATCGGCTGACAGAAGATTCAAATCTTCCTTTCTTACTTTAATGAAGTAATATTCTATTTCAGCTTAGTTCCGAATCGCCTGATGGCGAAAATATGGAGAAACTGAGGAAAAAGATTATAAACCAAGACGTTATAATCCGTGATTTTGAGACAAAACTGACAGAAGCTGAAAAAAATATTATAAATCAGAACGAGAAGATCAAGCTTTATGAAGCTACAATTAAGGACAAGAATGATTTGATCGAATTGATGAAAGAAACCAAAGAATTCGCGATTAAACAGTTAAAAAATGAAAACGCTGTCTTACAAATCGCTCTCAATTTCAGCAAGAATCCAACTTCAAACAAAAACGACGCAAATGCAGAATATTCAGCTGAATTTAAGAAGAAATCAACTGAGGATGCAGATTTCCAGACTCTGCAGAAGCAATTAAAGGAAATCCAATCTCAAAATGAAGCTCTTAAATATACTGTATGCCAGTTGAAGTCAAGAAATTTTAAACTGAAATCAAAGCTGGATGAAAATATTAGGGAAATGAACACCCTGGAAGCAAAATCAGCTACAGATACAGATGAGTTAAGAGCTTAGATTGCTGAACTAGAAAAGAACGCTGAAATATATAGGGTAAAGTCCGAAGAAAAGGACACTATGCTTGCGGAAGGTGCCTCAAATGGTACAAATTCCCAAGGCACAGATGCACCATTTGTTTTACTAAACCATTCGAAAGTGACCAATATAAAATTCATTAAAATCGGACACAAAGACAGGCCGGCAATAGTTGAGAATATTCCCACTTTGGGTACCGATTGGATAGTAATTCTGCATCGCTTTGATGGGAGTGTCAACTTTTCTCCATACTTGAGATATAGCGTTGGTGATCTATTCGGGGAATTCTGGATTGGTCTTGAATCAATTCACAAACTGACCTCAAGTGTCCGACACGAATTGTACATTCAACTCGAGGACTTAGATGGCGTAACAGCTTACGCCAGATATGATAACTTCGTTGTTGGAAACTCTAGGGAGAGTTATGCCCTGAAGTCTTTAGGTGCTTACTCGGGAAACGCTGGCGATGCTTTGCGGAGTCATCTTAATTCCAAAATGGAATTAAAGGTAATCAATGAAAATAAAGCGTGTTACTGGTGGTTCTCGAGCAATAATGAATGGTGAGCAATTAAATTGAAAGCTATTAAGTAAAGTTTGAAAGATTTATTATTAATATAAATATATTTTCAGTTGCCTGACTGGCTATTATAAAAAATCGAAAGAAGCACTGGACGAAGTCGGCATGTATTGGGGAAATTGGTATTTGGGAAAGCGTTATCCTCTGAAGGCCTGTAAAATGCTAATAAGACCCTACTCGAAATAAGCTTTCATTTTGTAATCTGTTTTCAATGTTAAATTCAAATAAACTTAATATTATTTAATATAAGGGAAAACATACACAACTCTTCATTAGTCCCATCTATACACATTATCCAAATTTACAAGCTTACCGCACAGAGGAAGGTCAGGAACTTGAATTTGCCGCCAAATGGCACCGTATTGGGCATGTCGAGGTTGTGGAATATGTAAACGCCATAGTTGAATTGGAGGACGGCCGTTAGGTGGAGCAGCAATTGCACTGCCTTGTTGAAGCCCGGAGATGTGGAGCCCTTGCTCTTTGATTTCGTCTTGGGCTTGGCCATGTTATACCTCCTAGTGCCAGATATATACTGATTACGGTATAGCCAGAGTCCAGTCACTAGCAGTAATCGTACGTGTTTGCTTACAGGGATTCCTGACTAAGTTGAATTCCTTGCTTTAAGGGTATAGTTTTCTTGTAGGAAAATGATTTTGCGGTGCTTGTGGCAAAGCATACATTCAAATACTATATATTTCTATGAAACATGCCCTACAATCGAGGCTCCACTGTATGTACTTGGCCTGCGCTTTGAAACTGATAAGGTACGCGCTTATCAGTCGCACTCCCAATCGCCGTGGTACAAAGTATTGCCACTCGAGAATGAATCGGCAGAAGCTAACGGGAAAAAAGGAAATAAATCTGAAAATGGGCGCATAATCCGCATCGGAACTTGTCCCGCCTCCTTCCTCCCCCTTTGAAGCGCAGTGCAGGCTATGAATAGCTACGGATACACAGCAGCGGCATATTTATGAGCCGAGACAATAATGGCTCTACTTATGTTCGCAGCTAATGGCAACTATCGATTCCCCGCCCGTTTCCGCCCACCGTCGTTCGGCATGTGAAGGTCAAGGACAAAGGGCGACGTCGTCATCAAAGCCCCCCAACCAACTGTATTTTCTGGTATCATTATATTGAGGTCTCTTTTACCTTTTGTGTATCGGTTGACGGCTGTGTAATGTCCAAAAATAATCCCATATTAACGTAATATTTAATTCTTTGCTATGTGTAGATGTAGAAATAAATGGTAAGTATATTTCTTACGAGAGTTTACTAGCATTTAACTGCTATACAAAAAATCCAACGAATATCTGCCACGCTCTACCTGCAATGTACAAGCCAAGCAGCGACATTTTCACCTTGAATCAAAGGACACCTCCCGGTTTATTCTATGGTCTCCACTTCGCCATCGCTATCAACGCCACCGGACTCTAGATTTATTTCCGTGAGCTCTTGGTCATCCTCCAGGACACTAGGGGCGCCCAGGTCACCAGTCTCCATGCGAGGGGCACCCGCAATATCCACTGGCTGTTCCTCGGCCTCCCTATCAGCTTCTTCCATGGCTGCTGCCTGCTCGAACATGGGATTATCGAAGGCCCGTTCCCTCACTTCTCCGCTCTCCGGGTCATAGGCCATAATCCCCAAGCGATCCACACCAGATGTGCCGTCTTCATGAGAGCCCTCGCCACCAGCACCGCCAGGCACTGTGTTCTCAAAGCGGTTGAATAGCAGATTCCGGCGCAGTCGCACGCCCAAGTGCCGCCATCTCCAACGCCTGGGGTCGTGGATCCAGTGGGGTATGCGGTTCAGGTAGGGATTCTCCGGCATATAGTGGGCCAGGATGATAACCGAGACCAGGCCTACCAGAGCCATGCAGAAGAGAATCAGGAGAATGGACGAGAAGCTCACGTTCGGATTGTAGGGGCGTCCGGAGACCTTCAGGGTAACATGGGACTTTTTATCAGCCTTCATCAGAGACTCCAGGAACTCCAGACTGCGCTCGCTGTAGCCATGACGATCCGTGACCACGGCCTGCAGGTGGTTTCCAAACTGCCGAGAGCCCACGAACTCTACGTGGAGTTGGATCTGATCCTCCAGACCCTGCTTGGCGATGAGCTCGTTTATCTCGTCCGTGATCTGTTTCTTATCCCCTTCGGAGCAGTGGCTGGTGGGCGTCGAGATGATGGCCCCACAAATGAGGCAACAGGAGCCCAGGGGACGTACTGGCGACAGGCAGTGCGGGACCTCACACTGTTCCTGGACATTGTGGCAAACAGGCTCCACCAGTTGGTCGAAATCCTTGTGGCAGCCGCACAGTTCTCCTCTGTAGTACTCCACCTGCACGTCCTGGGCATTGTGGAAGAGGTATCGCCCCAAATCCCTGGTCAGCAGTTGCTCCAAGTAGAGTTTCGACACCGATGAGCCGGCCAGTATGAGCTGTCCCAGCCTCAGGTACTCCACATTCTCCAGGTCAAAGGCCAGGGGGCCGTGGCCCTTGATTATGACTTGCTCATTGTCACAGGGAATCCGCTCGAGCTCTGGCACTGAGGCAGACACTTCGCCAGCCTTGTCCGTCCTCCAGGTGCCGGGATCAAACCATTTGCTCGATTTGGGCTCCCTAAGGAGAGCCACCTTTGTGTGTTCCGTTTTGCAACGGGAATTGTCCGTGGAACCAAAAGTTATGGTTGATTCTTCGGCCAGAAGAATGGCCCCGTTTCTGGGGAAAACCAAACCTTCAATGGATAGTTCCTCGGGCAAAGGCAGCAGGGCGGGATAGTTTGATGGGAAAACCACCAGATCTCGGTTACAAGGCATGTAGCCATCTATCCAGGCAGAGGGATCCTTGAAGTCCAGGCCCCCGGAGTACCACTTGGTGGCCAGAGTCACTTTCATCGAGTCAAGTAATGTGATAATCAGAAGCCCCCACAGCATGATGATGATGTGAACAGAGTGAACTTCCAACTAGAATTGGAATGTGTCAGGGAGGGAATCATACTCATATTTGGGGGCGTTAGCCCATAGTCTCTGTGGAATTTGCCAGTCTAAATGCAAGATAATATCTGTATACATAAATAAATTCAAAAATACATTTACAAGTAACTTATATTACCCATTTTTAGTATAGTTTTTAACATGAATTCCTAGTACTAAGCAATGCGCGCTCCATAAATTTTTGTTTTAAAAATATCGCACTAATTAATGCTGGAAAATAAGCAACAAAAACATGTGTACCTATGAGAAATCCATATAATATGTACAGGTTCACATTTTTACTATAGATACCGCGTCTGGAATACAGAAAGAATTTCCTTTTCTTTTTGCTAAAACAATGCAATTGTTTGTCGGAAAATAGTTAAAGTTTATTTTTTTATTTTGATTGTGCTGATATAAACAATTTTCCTGCCCATCCGATGCTTGACGGAAGCCATTGGAATGCCCAAAAAGAAAAGCTGGCAACAAAAACAATTGAAAACCGGATGGTAATGGCACCGAAAAATACTCGTGGGGCTACACATGAAAGCCCAATGAGAAAAAAAAATGGGCGAGTGCAGATCTTCTTCTGTTGATATAAAGCACTTTATGCTCACCAGATCAAAGTACATTAATCAAGGCCACACAAGGTCGTGAAACAACAAACTAAAATCTGGTAAACTTTGAAGTACAAAAATTATGTTCAAAACGTGTGGGGAAAATTATATTGACAGTTTTTCATTCTCTAATGGGTAATTTTTCACAACAATAAATAATCGAAAATTAAGTGTATTTAAATAAAAAAGAAGATATGTAGGTTAATGTACATATATTTGTTATTTAATTGCTCTTGGCATTCGATTTATTGAGCCCATAAAGCCCAAGGAACAAAGAGGGAAACCACAAAGAATGTCTTCCTTTGTGGGTCACAGCTCGTTTAAATTATAATTTTTTTTAATGGTATCAGTACAATTTATAGGCAGTAACGTTTAATGTTAAATTCTTTGTCTCTCAGTAGGTCACATAGCTTAAATATATTTGCATTACATTAATTATACTTCAGTAGCTCAGATTTTCAAGTTTTCTGATTTATTTACCCATCAAAAAATGGAAATTTCCCCGTTCCCATGATGACAACCACTTTAAGATATTTGCTTGTGTTTTCTTTGGCTTTCAATTGTTGCCAAGTAGCTGCTAGAAAATAGCTGAGCGATCGATCGATCGATTGGTTTCCTAAACAATTCTAAAGATATGTAAATGAGTGTTGACGCCGGCCAACTGCCTCGTATGGCATATTTTCCTTGGCGCCCCAAAGATAATCTGGCATTCATCAGTTCCATAAATTTTGGCAACAAAAGAAACCAAAAAAAAACCGCAAACATCTGAGCAAATAAAGCTGGAAAACCCGAAAGATGCAGGAAAAAGTGCATTCAGTAGAAGGAGGAGGAACTGCGGCGTATCTGCCAGATACTCTGTATCTCACAGTTGTTGACCCCGGCATGGGCATCCCAACGAGCAGACAAACAAATAAACAAACATATGGCAGGCATAAATGCGAAGAATAATCATTTTCTTTCGCTCAATTTCGGTCACTCGACACTTGAAATAACCAAAATCGGCGGCGGCCGCATTTCCGTCTTGCTTTTTAATTCTCCAAAAATCACGAAATATATATATATGTATCTTGCAGATTCGTACTCACCAGCGACCAGTAGGAGAGGAACTTGATTTTCTGGGACAGCGACTCCGGCACAAGGCGACGGTTCAGGCTGGTCTTCAGCTTGTAGCTGCGCTGGATGTCAAAGGAGCTGTAGTAGAGGCCATAGGCGAACTGGCCCAGGGCGCACAGGTGTATGATGGTCACAAAGACACGCGACTTGTAGAGCTCCACTTTAGTCATCTTGAGGATTTCCTTTCACAACAATAATAATAGTCCTGCACGAACACAAAGACCAATGGAAGGGAAACTTGAAACTGGCACAGGGGGAAATAGTAACACAAATATTCTAATTTGATTTTAATAAAATCTATTTCAAGACTTTTATTTAGATTAAGACTTTTATAACTTTAAACTTTAAATTAAAGCTAATATAATTTAAAGTTTAAAGTTATAAAAGTCTTGAAATTTACAGGAAATTTTAGACTCTTTTTTCTCTCTGTGCACTACAGTAGTTCTCCTAATGACGACGCCTCGCCAAGGTGTTTCTTTTTGCCTCTTGAGCCACGAAGACACCTCGACAAGGCGCGCACAAATTTAAATCAATATTTGCGTCACCGACATAAATATTTAAGCCTCCCAAAAATATAAGAAAAAAGAATAAAACTAAGGCTGAAATTCTAGAAAATCCGGCCGACTGCCCCCTATTGCTTTATGCTATATGCCAGTGTTTATAATTGGGTTATGTTCATAATTTGACGGTTTCTTATGGGCCATATAATGGCAGCATTTGTTGATTGTTTCACATTCGTTTCACTCTCTAAACAAATCACCAGCACACGCACGCTATATGTATGTATTTCCCCTGATTTCTGGCTTTACTCTTGGGGGTATTGCTCGATATCTTCCTGCCTTGACCGACGCTCCTCTCGCGCGCGCGTGCCACAACCGAGCGTATGGAAAACTGGAGTCACACTGGATGCGTTGCTCATACGCCGTGTTGCCTCCTGAGCTCTTTTTCTTTTCCACTTGTACTTGTGCTGTTGCTTCTGGTTGTGCCTGTGTTTCGGCTTCGGTTTCTGCGGTGTCGCTTTCGGTTGTTCTCTGTTGTTTCGCCTCAGGTGCGTGCTGCGCATGTCCGGGACTCCGGTTTTCGCGGTTCCGGGAGTGCGTTTAATGGATGGCCCAATCACCTGAATGAATCAACACACACACACACTGCAGCCCATTGAGATGCCTTTGGTGTTGTTTTCTGTCCAAGTGAATAAACAGATTAGGAGCTTGCAGTCATCATCACATCCAAGGGAGATAACTTTGCGGAGCCGATAAGCATCTGGTTTTATTTTTAGGGAGTACTGCGTCAAACCACAAAAGATAACAAAATAAATAAGTTCAAAAAGGAAAAAACTAAAGTTTTTAAATATAGATAAGACTTATGTATTGTTGGTTTTAACTAGTAATTTTTTTTTGGGATTTATAAGGCTTAAGATGACAATTACAAATTAAAGTGTAAACTATTTAAATAATATATAAATTTAATATAATAAATAATTATAAGTCTTGGAAAGTTAATGTATGAATTTATAATAAATATAAATTCAACACAAAATGTAATAAAAAGAGGAAATTAAATTAAACTATTATGCTCTTTAAGTAATACTTTATTTAAGGCTTTCACATATATTAAAACAGCATCTAAAAGTTAGATGTAGGGATCAGAATAAAGCTATTTCCAAAGCCCCCTCGTACATTATTATTCCCCATTAACTTGACACAGCAAATAAATCTTCAACTATTTAAATTCCCATTCAAAAAATCGTTAATTTCCCGCCTCAAGTTCCCTGAATGCCCCAAAACTTTGGCCATATGAGACAACCCACCACTGGCCACACCCGTCCACAAACTGTTCCTGGTGTTTTCTTTCAAATTCAAAGTAAAGTCATGTCGTAACCCGAAGCTGTACAGCACATAGATATCTATTGGGCCCCTCAAAATCCTCAGACCAGGCAGTTCCCGCCGAAAACTCCAGCTCCAGTCCAACAGCCAGCCATGTCGGCAACTTCGAAGATTACTTTGGGCATGGCCGTGACCGTATCCACGGCGATCATAGGTTATGTGCACTATAAACAAGCGGCGGACCGGTGAGTGCCACTTCTCGGTGTGTGTGTGGAAAGTACTAATGCGGGAAGCTTTTCTTTGTAGCCTGAAGCTCCATGACGGGGTCTTAAGGGACGTGGAGCAGCAGCAGCGGCGGAAGCACGAGAACAGATATGCCCTGCAGCAGCAAATAGACATTACCAAGCAACTCAAGGCCCAAGAGCAAGTAGTGGACATTACCAAGGAGCTTGAGGGAAAAGAGCAAGTGGACATATCCAAGCTGCATGAGGTCCAGCAGTCGTCCGCTGAGAAAACCCCCCTCGTGGAATCCGCGCCATGCAAGTGCAAATGCTGCTCAACCACCTTGGCTGGCTGTTCCAAGCAGCAGCATCAGCAGGCAGGAGCTGAAGAGTCCATAGGTGATGAAGAGGCTACGCCAAAAGTCTAAATTTAATCAAGGCGTGTTTATAATTAAAAACAATAAGATAAACTCGGGTTAAAAGCAGCATTTTGTTTTTAAAATGTTATTTTTCAATAGTGTTCTTACCAGGACAGTGTCTTTTATGAGCTAAAGGTCACTATTTTCTTGTTAAACTATTTTATTTTATAAGGCAAACCAAAGAGAAAAGGTCTTTGCATATGAAGCAAGACCTTAACTATTGTTACATAAGTTTAAAGCGTAGAAAATAAAAGAAAAACCAAGAGAAGATTCTGCCAAGACGGAAAATTGCAAGTATTTCTTCCGGAAGAATCCCAGGATCCCTACAGACCAAATACAACTCCCTCGATTCCGATTTTACAGTATACATTTAGTATTTATTACTCAATTTTATTATTTACGAATGTGTCTGTATAGTTAATTACAATTCTAATGGGCGCTCGGTAAACGTTATTTCGCGGGGGGTTTGTACATGGGTGGCTGTGGAACACACACGCACACCCCATCATCATAATCATAATCTTTGCCTACTCCTAGTCCTCGGCTATGCTCTCCACTCCTCCACTCTCCATCCAAGTTGATAAAATAAAGGCGTTGTAAAAAAAACGTCGAGAATAAAATACAATATGCTTGACGACGTCACTTGTCCGTTTCTCTCATAGAATTTCCACCGAATCGAAAAATGTTTTTTTTGGAGATTTAATAACGTCCACCACCGCCACCGCCGCCTCCTCCTCCACCGCCACCGCCTTTGCGACGATCACGATCATTGCCACGATCGCGTTCGTTGTTCAAGTAGTTGCCACCGCCGACACCATCGCCGCGGCCGCCTCCTCGATCCCGCCTGCCCCTAGAGCCGGACCGGCTGCGTGAGCCGCGTCGCCGGCTGCCGGGAGAGCGGGAGCGCGAGCGGGCACGACGGCGGCGGGAGTAGAGATACCGGCGAAGTTCCCGCGAAATGGGCTTCAAGTGCATGAAATTGCAGAAGCCGGAGCGAGTGCATTCCCCCATTTCGTATTGGCGACAGCAGGCCTCGCGGAAATCGGTGACCGGCGAGAGTTCCGAGTAGACCGGACGACCGCCGAACCAGCGGTTGTTCAAATCATTCGCAGCCTTCTCTGCATCCGCCTCGTTCCGGAACTTGATGTACACGTTGCCCACGAGGTGGTCACCCAGATTGTCGCACACGTTCATCTCCTCGATCTCGCCGTACTTGTCCTCGCACTCGACGAACACGTCCTCGAAGAAGTTGTCGTAGTGCTCCTGCATCTCCTCGTCGGAGACATTGGCCACCAGATGCGAGCCATCGGCCGACTTGGCCGAGTTCTGCGGATTCACGTACAGGTTCTGGAGCAGGACCGTCTGCGAGAAAGTGGGTTTGTTGTGGATGCGCGAGCAGCGGTCGCCGTGTCGGCAGGCGCCGATCTTGAAGTAGAACGAGCAGTTGACTCTGCGGGAAAAACGCGGTTAATTACCGGGGGATGCACGGGTGTGACGGTGCCAGTGCCATGCGACTTACTTGTCCTTTTCTGTGCCAAAAATGGATGCCAAGTACTCGGCCATGGTGGTGGCGGCTCTGTTGTGCGGATGCTGCTGCCGAAATGTGAGTCCTAGCTGCGCGCTTGCCTCTCCAACGCGTTCGTACTAGAATCGCTGGCTCGCTCTGTGTGTTTTTCGCCTAGTTGTAGTTTATTTTCGGTTTTTGCCGTAAAAAGCAGCGTCTGGTCTGGTTGTATTTTGTAGAGCGTTGCCAGCCCAAAATTGGGTGGCTGTCACAAAGCGGCTATCGATACGTGGGTGGTGGGTCTCGCTTTCGTGCGATAGTCACGCACGAGGGAGGAGTTTATCGGTATAAATTTGGTATCTAGTATATTTTAGTAGATCTACCGATTGTTGCGTCTATTGGTTGTTGGCTGCTGGTCACACTGTCACAGTTTCCTAAATTTTAATAAAACTCGTAGGTAAAATCGGTCGCGCTGAAATATACAACGGATTACAAAACTTTAAAAATAATTATAGTTGAAAAACAAGTGCCCTATAATCTCGCGGAGATAAAGTGCTAGTCATCATGCTTTCCTAGTGCAAATCACTGACCGCAAACAGCTGTCGTCGCCCGAATTCCTGCACAGTTTTTGCACACCTTTCTATTTGTTTTTGTAGTTGCGGCAAAAGGAAAATCGAAAAGAAAATCGAGGCAAGGAGGCAAGGAGGAGAGGCGAGAAAAACCAAAACAAAGCAAGTTGTGCATTTGTTTTCATTTAGCAGCAGCAAGTAAGCGATAAACATACATATTTACGTCATCCACTGATAAGGTCAATATATAGAATAATAACAAAAAGCAGGGGCAAACCAGAGGAAGTTTATTTATCCAATGTGTTTATCGGCTGGCCTTTGTTAATAAAGTGCAAAAAATATATGTACAAATTTCATCATTGCTTTGTGACCCTAATTAAACATTTATAAAGTTTTGTTAGCTTTCAATTTACTACTTTCTTAGTGAAATAAACATTAATCATGTTATAAATTATTTGTATTTAATTAATTAATTTAATAAGAGCTTTTTTACACTTCATTTATGTATATTTCTTCATGCTTTTATGTTCAAACTTGCCTTTAATTTAGCTTAAAATAAATTTAAGAAATATCTTTTTTAACACAAAATTGTTCTTTTAGTTAAGTTTAACCATTTAAATATTTATTTACATAATAATCATCAAAATACTCACCATTATTGAACTTTGAACCCACACAGAATGCAGAGCTGCTGGCACGATGGCGACGAGGACGCCATGGCGGCGCCGCCCATCTCCTCCTGCACGGCCACAGAAAACGCCAACATTCTGGGATCACGGCGTACATTTGGCGATATAACCACCAACAGGCTCTGGACATTCCGCGTGCTGATGCACCAGGAAATGGCCCCCAACGAACGGCTGGCCGTTGTGGGTAACTGCGAGGCCCTGGGCAATTGGCAGCATTCGGGAGCGGCCCTGCTCTCCAAGGACAACCAAGAGGAGAACGAGAGCAATCTGTGGACGGGAGAGGTCTATGTGCCCCGCCACTGCCACACCGAATATCGCTACTTGGTCTGCGCCGTGGACCCGAGCAGTGCGGAGCAGCCGCTGCTGGTTCGTCGCTGGGAAACTCAATTACAGGTCTAGAGCAATTGAGTTTTTCATTATTCCTCCCCTGAAATACCCGATGGAGAGTTCCGTTCCGGTAGCCTCTTATTGAAACATCTCAAATCCGAAAAAAAATCACTAAAACAACGAAATCTCCCTTCTCCCTGCAGCCCAGGATCATCAAAGAGCTCGATGAGCAGCCCGCCAAGGAGCACTCGGACATATTTGGATCGTTCCGAGGTCAGGAGAAGGTGGACAGGGGTTGGCTAACCCAGGAGACGCTGGTCCAGCTCAAGTTCTTCTACGCCCCGTTCACGTTTAAGCAGCGGATGAAGCGACGGCATGTGCAGGTGAAAGTAACACCCATGAATCTAAGCATACCTAGTGCCGACCGTTGCGAGGCCTTTGCGCCCGTTTCCCCGCTGGAGGATTCCCTCTCGAATGACACGCACGACACCAAGGAGAATGGTGGCGAGTCCGCGACGGCGTTTGCCTTCAGCGAGGTGGTGGCCTTGAGTGCCGACGATTGCGAGATCAGGGCCCAGGAGCAGTTCGGCATTGGGTGCGGGCCCAGCGACTTGGTAATCTTCCACATGACCGTGGCGGATCTGGAGAACACTGCCTTCCTGATCGACCTGTACACGTATAGCTCGCGGGTGGCCAAGGAGGACGGTGTACCGAATCACCTGGGCTATCACTATGTCCTGCCCAATCTGTTCAAGCGCTCCGAGGGCCATCTGGAGCTACCTATTACCTGTGCCAAGGGCCATCGTCCGTTGGGAATGATGCGGCTGGGCTACCTCATCGTCAAGCCGTCCTCCCAGAGTGCCCTCATGGACATGAGCGTCAGCTATGCCCGCTACTGGAACAACAAGTGGACGGGCCTGGATGTGGGACATCGCGGCTCCGGCACCAGCTTCAAGGCCAAGGATGCCGTGATCCGCGAGAATACGATAACCTCGCTTAGATATGCCGCCGATCACGGTGCCGATATGGTGGAGTTCGATGTTCAGCTGAGCAAGGATCTGGTGCCGGTGGTCTATCATGATTTCATGATCTACGTGTCCCTGAAATCCAAGTGCAGCATGCAGGAGCACGACTTCCTGGCACTGCCCATGCGGGAGCTGTCCTTGGAGCAGCTGAAGAAGCTCAAGGTGTACCACACAGCCGAGGGCCTGTCACGGGAGACGCGCTCCTTTCACAACGACGACCTGCTGGAACACCAGCCCTTTCCCCAGCTGGCCGATGTCCTCGACGCCCTGGACGTCCATGTGGGCTTCAACATCGAGATCAAGTGGTCACAGCGCCTCCAGGATGGGAAAATGGAGGAGGAGTTCGAGCATGTGGTGGACCGAAATCTCTACATCGATTGCATTTTGGACGTTGTCCTGCGGAAGGCGGGCAATCGGCGGATAGTTTTGAGTTGCTTCGATCCCGACATATGCACCATGCTGAGGTACAAACAAAACAGATATCCAGTCATGTTTCTGACACTCGGCAGGACGACGAGATACGAGCAGTATTTGGACCCCAGGGGCAACTCGATGGAGCTGGCCGTTTGGCATGCGGTGGCCATGGAGCTGCTGGGAATTGTGGCTCACACGGAGGACTTGCTGCGTGACCCCAGCCAGGTAACACCCAACATGATGATACTGATGATGATGAACTCGTGAACCATTCAGCCACGCTGGGACGCTTTTAGGTGAATCTGGCCAAGGAGCGCGGCTTGGTGCTATTTTGCTGGGGCGATGACAACAACTCCAAAGACACCATCAAGCTGCTGAAGGGGCTCGGCCTGCATGCGATTATCTATGACAAAATGGATGTGCTGACCACCAAGGAGGTCAAGGTGAGTGTGTAACCCCGATAAACAAATAAATTTTGATTAATGTAAGTGGATCCTTTCTTCTCCCTGCCTTTTAGCAAAGCGTTTTCCACTTGCAGGCCAAGGACAGCCAGAAGGAGCTGCTCAAATTGCAGGCCTTGGAAATGGGTCATGTCTGGCACACCTCTCCCGATGGCGCCGAGGAGCAGCAAGCCTAGAGATCGCTCGAGGCCTTTATACTCTTGCGAACTCTGCTAGGACCAAAACCTCATCTATTTTTCACATTTGTTGTTTCATTTTCTCACTTCTCATTTTCCCTTAGCCAATTGCATTTGCTTAATTTCTTATTGTCTGTATAAATGCCTAGTTTAAACCTTACTAAAAAAAGGAGAAAAGAGAAAACGAAAATCTGTTCTCAGTTAGTTTTTCTAAGCTTTGCTTAAATACTTAACTATAATATATAAGAAAAATTTTAAATAAAAAAGGCCGCTCTTTGTTTACATTTCAATTCAACACTAAGCCTCTTTTGTATATGTTTTGTATCTCATTTGCAATTTAAATGTGCTTAAGTCTTTAAGTACTTGGGTTTGAAACTCGGGTTAACCGCCAAGAATTTAAAAAGACAGTGTAACCAGCTGCTTTTTAACAGACAAAATTTACAATATGGTCACACTGGCACGTTTTTCGTGGCCCAAAGTTTTTATAACAGTTTATACCAGTTTTCAGTTGCTTGCTGCTGATTTCTGTTCGCCTGGTACCCCGATTTGGGAAACGGGCAATTTGCATGGAAATGTTCGGAATTTTGGATGGGCTGCTGTAGGGATGTTGTTGTAAAAAGGTTGTCGTTGCCACCAAGCTGTTGTTGTTGGCAACAAATAGGTATAAATGCATAAAATGAAATATAACAGTTTATACCAATTATTATTTTTGCCCAAAGATTTTTATAACAGTTTTCAGTTGCTTGCTGCTGGTTTCTGTTCGCCTGTTACCCCAGTTTGGAAAGCGGCCAAATCGAATGAAAAAATTTGCTCACTTGCATCAGTGATGCTCATCTCCATCAGTGATGCTCACTTCCATCAGTGATGCTCACTTCCATCAGTGATGCTCACTTCCATCAGTGATGCTCACTTCCATCAGTGATGCTCACTTCCATCAGTGATGCTCACTTCCTTCAGTGATGCTCACTTCCATCAGTGATGCTCACTTCCATCAGTGATGCTCACTTCCATCAGTGATGCTCACTTCCATCAGTGATGCTCACTTCCATCAGTGATGCTCACTTCCATCAGTGATGCTCACTTCCATCAGTGATGCTCATCTGCATCAGTGATGCTCATCTAGCTATATTGCAATATTGGGAGGCTATAAAATCGGGCTTAATGGCAGTGATGCTCATCTGGCTATATTGCAATATTGGGAGGCTATAAAATCAGACTTTGCATCAGTGATGCTCATGTAGCTATTTTGCAATATTGGGAGGCAATATATCAGGCTTAATAGCAGTGATGCTCATCTAGCTATATTTCTTTAGTGGGACAAAATAGATAGATGAGCATCACTGATGCAAAGTCTTATTTTATAGCCTCCCAATATTGCAATATAGCCAGATGAGCATCACTGCCATTAAGCCCGATTTTATAGCCTCCCACTATTGCAATATAGCTAAATGAGCATCACTGATGGAGATGAGCATCACTGATGCAGATGAGCATCACTGATGCAGATGAGCATCACTGATGCAGATAAGCATCACTGATGCAAAGTCAGTTTCAGTGTGCCCAGGTGCATTAAGGCAACATTTTAGCCAAAAAATGTACAATATGGTCACATCTGGTTTGAGTCTTCGCTTACTCCAAGATCCATGGTTCGAAACTTGGACTTTTTATAACAGTTTATACCAGTTTTCAGCTGCTTGCTGCTGATTTCTGTTCGCCTGTTACCCCAATTTGGGAAACGGGCAATTTGCATGGAAATGTTCGGAAATTTGGATGGGCTGCTGTAGGGATGTTGTTGTAAAAAGGTTGTTGTTGCCATAAGCTGTTGTTGTCGGCAACAAATAGGTATAAATGCATACAATGAAATATAACAGTTTATACCAATTATTATTTTTGCCCAAATGTTTTTATAACAGTTTATACCAGTTTTCAGTTGCTTGTTGCTGGTTTCTGTTCGCCTGTTACCCCAGTTTGGAAAGCGGCCAAATTTTAGAAATTTTGCTCACTTGCATCAGTGATGCTCATGTGCATCAGTGATGCTCATTTGGCTATATTTTGCAATATTGGGGGCAATAAAATCGGGCTATATGGCAGTGATGCTCATCTAGCTATTTTGTCATATTAGGAGGCTATAAAATCAGGCTTAACGGCAGTGATGCGCATCTAGCTATTTTGCTTTATTGGGAGAAAATGGCATTTCACTAACTGCCAGTGATGCTCATCTAGCTATTTTGCATTAAAATGCCATCTCACTTACTACCAGTGATGCTCATTTCATTGTTCTTATAGGAATAGGAAAAATAAAATAAAACAAAATAATATAAAATAATGTATTTTATTGTTTTTATTTAGGTTCATTAACATAGAATAAAATAAAGTATTTTAAAATTAAAATGTTGCTTGTTGTGTTCGTTGCTGTTGTTGTAAAAGTAGCCGGCAGACCTGACTGGAAGTCCTATTTATGACAGATTAACATTCCGGATCGAAACTGCCATGATACTTTGACTTTTGGCTTCTGGCGGTGCTCTCTTCTTATCCCTGATTCCTGATCCCTATTCCTCCATTCCCATCCCTTATCCACCATCCTTTTGCGTGTGTCGTTGGTCCTTTCCCTTGGTTCTTGTCCAGGGTGGGTGTCAGGTCTACTGATACTGATGACTAGGAGCGATGGCGATGACGATGAAAAGTCTGTAATTGAACAGAGAAAAATAGCAAATTAAAAACTAAAATAGGCATAAATCTGTCAAAAATGCCTTAATTTGCATTAGGAAAGCGGTGTTATGTTAGTTTTTATAAGGTTAACAAATCTGCATACTTAGTTTGAAATTGAAAATTTTATCAAATTTTGAGAATTTTAATGATGTAACCCCTTATAACATTTTGAAAAAATTGATTAAAAATTTGTTTCCTCCGGACTTAGCCAGAAAGATGCGCCTGCTAATGCTGATCAAGAATATATATGGTTTATGGGGTCGGAAATGACTCCTTCAATGCGTAATTAGCTTCGGACTGGAAATAAAATACCCTGCCAGGGTATAAAAATTATAGCTTCGTTGTTTTTCAACGTATGTTTATCTACTCTCAGATATAAGTTTTTTTTTATTATTCTAGAATTTTGGAATAAATTTTATAAAAATCTGACAACTATATCATATAGCTGCCATAGAAGCGATCGGTAAATGTATAAAATATGTAAAGCTGGGAATGTAAAACTGAAACTGTCAAACTGTAAACATAATAAGTATAGGTAAAATTTAATGAAACTCTGTTTTGTGAGTGTTTTCAGCATTTAAATCTATAATATAAACATCGAAACTAATCTGCAAGGGTATACAAACTTCGGCGTGCCGAAGTTAGCTTCCTTTCTTGTTAGTTTTATTTTGTAGACACTAAAACTATCTGATTAAAAGTGTCTCAACTATAGCCTTTCGAGACACCTATTTCTCAATTTCAAACTTTCCATTACTCATACGCAGTGTTGGATTTTGGCGCCCACAGGCGAATGTCAGAACAAAAGGAATTGCAAGCGAATAAGAAGAGGAAAGCCACTCTCTGCGCATGCACTCGTCTTTCGACAAAGATGAAGTGGAACAACATCATCCCCGAACACTAAAAACTGAGAGAATGTGAGGAAAATGCCGTCAGTGTGTGCTGGCCGCCGAATCGGTTTTGTTTCGAAATTCCTTTTCAGTTTGTTAAATCGCCTCGAACGGTGCGGAACGCGAGTGCGAAGAGAGCGGAGTGGACAACAGCCTGTAGTGAGAACGGAATGGATAACAGCCCGTAGTGAGAACGGCAAGGAGCGCAGGGAAACGGAGAAAGGAGAAAGGCCCACCAAACCCAAACGAGAAAATAAATCAAATAAATACACAGAAGCAGTGTGTCTAGTGTAGTGCAATCCCTGGTTTCCCAAGTATTTTCCAACTATGTCCGTGGGCCGTGCGCTTCGAGACCGCAGGATGAGGGCATAGAGGTGAGGTCCATCTACTATGCGTGTCCCTCTGTGTGTGTGTGTGTAGACCAAGTCCGGCTTAAAGGAAGTTTCAGTGATGCCCCAAAAAAAAAATACAAAAAAATATAATGAAAAAAGGAACGGAAAAATCGATGCGTGCGCGACACACACGTGTAAGGGGTCTCCGTTTACTCCGTGTGCTCCTCCTGTGCCCCACTGTGTCTGTGTGTGTATATATCAAGTATACGCCAAGTTAACCGAGGCAGGCAACTTCATACCCACAACAAAAACAGAGAGAGAGCGAGCACCAGAGAGACAGAGAGCACGGGAACAGTTACTACTACAACACGCTACTTACAAAACACTCCTGACCTACTGTGTGTGTGCCCCCCAGGAGGAGGCCGTTAAGCCACCTCTAACTACTCTTACTTTGCGTGTAATGTTCTTTCGGCGGGTGGGGCAAGGGAAAGGGACAGGGGCGGGGGAATGGTAAAGGGAAGGAAATTTGGTATAAAAAATTGAGGAACAAAAAACAACACCGACACCGAAAAACTCATTTTAAATACTTGCCAAGAAGTGTGTGTGTTTTCTAGGGTAGCTCCGCCACTCATTAGTGGGTACACACACTCCCCTTTAAACTTATGAATATTAAAGCTGGACTCTTGGGTGTGCGTGTGTGTGTGTATAACACAATCATTAACATTAATCGCAAAGTGAATTCCGAATATTCGGCTGGGAAGCGTGTGAGTTTTCGGTGTCTTGTTTGTTTTGTTTATAAAGCCCCCTCCTTGTATATATGTGGGGAAAATGGTGTGTGCCCGCCTTGTTTTGTATTTTTTTATTGGCGCTGATTTGAGAATCTGGAATCGGTAGGAGCCGGAGAAGCAGCAGCAGCCAGCCGGTTGCAAGTAAACACATCCAATGGACAAGGATGAGAGTCGACAACAGAAAAAGAACAGCCCGGACAGGCAGGCGGACAGCACAAGACGCTGTTGCTCACTTTGTCTATATACAGACAGAGAAAAAAACCTACTTTCATTTACAATTTTGTTTAAATATTTAGAGGATAAATATCACAGAATACACCCATCAGATATTTACAATTACATATAAATATTTACAGGATATGCCTCTCAGAGATTACATTTTTAATCGCGACTAGCAGGTTCTATTTCGAACTCTTTTGCCTTTACTTTTGCTTTCTTTACACCTTCTAGATATTTATTTTTAACAATCATAATTAAAAGATTAAAGAAGATATATCAATATTTTCAAACATTCCCATAATACTTTTATTTTAATTTATAAATATTGCAATACTCTTTAAATTGAAATATTATTCTTAAATATACTTAATGCCTAGCATTTGTTTACCGTGTACACATGCGGGTGTATCTAGATACATTTGTATCTGTGCGTGCGAGTGTGTAAACAATGCAGCGCCAAAACTAAATATTGTTTAAGAACAAATATTTGCCTTTTGTGCAAATCACGAAAAGGCAATTTCATTATTCCGTTACGTTCCGTTTTACTTCCTTTTATTTTATTTTTATATGCTTATATATATATATATAAAGTATATATCTTTAAAGGGTGTCTTCTTCGTTCCACTCTCTGATATTGATGACGCTATCGATGATATTGTTTAGAGTCTATATTTAGTTCGATCTGGGAGGAAAAACAAGCCCAAAGAGTGGGATGATGCGCTTCACGAGCTGCTAATGGGTCAATTTCAGTTGAAGCGAATATTATTGCCCATTTCCCAGATAAATGGCTCTAGTTCGAGCGCTCAATTGCTGTTGATCCTCGCCAAATATAAATACAAATATCTATGCGGCGTAGAAAATGCAAATAGAGTGAATCCAAGCATTGAATCATCGGATTGTGGGGGCGGTTGGAAGGATGCATCCATCAAATGAGGTTCTTTTTCGAATTTCGGAGTAACACTAGCCTCCTCCATCCGGCACACTTTCGCACATAACTGAATCACTTATATCTGGCAGATAAACAAATAAATCGAAGATGTGCGAAACAGAATCCATATAAGCGTATATATACATATTTCTCAATGATTTGTGTACACAAAATATTGATTTAGAATCGATGATTTGTATGCTTAACATTCAAAAGGCATGTAGGCCATGTGATTTGCCAGTCTTTTATTGCGAACTTTTGATTAAACTTGGGTTTTATTAATTATTTAGATCTTTAAACAAATTATAAAACAATTTTTAAATAGGATAAACACCTTGTTTAATTATATCCATTATAAGAACAGGCTTTAGCCTATTTTCTTTATTGGTTTTATTCCCGAAATAGTTGAGCGTGTGCATTAAATCGACTTTTTACCCAGCACACACTCATATACAGGAGGAATGTAGGCCATAATTACTAACCATCAACTATAATGGGGATCATATAAGTGGGTTTCCATGAATTCCATTTGGAATTATTCCACAGGAACTTCTACGAATGATTATTATAAACAACCACTGAAAATATTCAATTAATTTGTATACATATTTAAAAATAATTTCACAACTGATAAGAAAAATCCTATATATATTTTTTTTCCAGCGCCATGTTGTCCAATGTAGCCCCAACTTAGTGAGTAGCTCAAGGCCCAGGGCGAAGCATTTCGAGGATGCTTTGGGTTCCTAACCGTTCCTAACCATTTCTGGTTGAACCATTTTCAAGTGGGAGTCCGCGGGATTGAGACCTGATCCCCACCTCCTACTCACCCCCCCTGGAGGTTGGAGCGTCGTCTTGTTGTGTATGAGTGTCGAGGTGCCTGGGACGCGGGGCACGGATAACTGTACAAATCGTGGGCAAGGACAACGAAAAACAAACAGGTTGGACAGCAAAAGAATACACACATATATTTTATATATATATATTATAAAAAGAAAAACAAAGAGAAACCCACACAAAACACTCTAAATCCAAGAAATTAGTTTTCTTTGTTTTTATTTCGTTGGAAAAAGTATCTAAAAACTTTAAGAACATCTTCAGATCATTTTAAAATATTTAAATTTTCAATTAATTTAATTATAATTTATTTCAGTTATATTATTTAAAGATTTAATTTAGTTCTTTCTGTGAGACAATGACTTATATACCTAAAAAAATGCAACACTATGCGCATGCAGCCATGAATCTAATCAACATGGACTCGGAGAACCGGGTGGTGCTCAATGTGGGCGGCATCAGGCACGAGACCTACAAGGCCACACTGAAAAAGATTCCGGCAACGCGACTATCCCGCCTCACCGAGGCCCTGGCCAACTATGATCCGATATTGAATGAGTACTTCTTTGACCGGCATCCGGGCGTCTTTGCACAAGTGCTCAACTATTACAGGTGAGAAGGATTGCAGGGTATCTATATAGCAGGGGTCTATATATATAAACCAAATCTTTGCAGAACTGGCAAGCTGCACTATCCAACGGATGTGTGCGGACCGCTGTTTGAGGAGGAATTGGAATTTTGGGGCCTAGACTCGAACCAGGTGGAGCCCTGCTGTTGGATGACCTATACGCAGGTGAGTTGGATGTGGGGTCAGTTTTGGGAATTACTTTTAATGATTTTATTTATTTGCAGCATCGCGACACTCAGGAAACCCTGGCCGTACTGGATCGCCTGGATCTGGATACGGAAAAACCGTCCGAAGAGGAGTTGGCTAGGAAATTTGGCTTCGAGGAGGACTACTACAAAGGCACCATATCCTGGTGGCAGGAGATGAAGCCGCGCATTTGGTCCTTGTTCGATGAGCCCTACAGTTCCAATGCCGCCAAGGTAAGGAAGCTTTTTAAGTGTAAAAAGATCATGTAATGTCAGTTAGTAAAATATTTGTATTAATAGGATGAAAATTAAATAATAAAATAATAATTTAAATATAAAAAAAATATAAAAAACAAGAAAGAAAGCTAACTTTGGCCAGTCAAAGTTTGTATACCAGAAAACACTTAAAATATATCATAACTAAGCCAAAAATGCATTCATTTCGATTCGGAAAGCAGTTTTGTGTTAGTTTTTATTAATTTAATAAAACTGCATACCAAATTTAAAATTTTAAGAAATGAAAATTTTTTGCAATTTTTGCAAATTTTAATGATGTAACCCCTTACATTTTTTTGCAAAAATGGCTAAAAAATAAATTTCTTCCGAACAAAGCTAGAAAGAAGCGCCTGTTAATGCTGATCAAGAATATATATGGTTTATGGGGTCGGAAATGATTCCTTGACTTAGAAAAATATTATTTTGTATTATAAAATCTGATTTTTTATATTAAAAAACTTCTTGATTTTTTTTTAAATTAAAAGTATCATAACTCGGCCAAAAGAACATTAATTTTAAATTGGAAAACTGTTCTGTGCAAGATTTTCTACAGTTAATAAATCTGCATACTTCATTTAAAATCTTTGAAAATTCAATTTTTTATCAAAATCAAAAATTTTAATGATGTAACCCCTTATAAAATTTCGCTAAAATGGCCAAAAAATCGATTTCTTCTGGACATGTCTAGAAAGATTCCCCTGTTGATGCTGATCAAGAATATATATGGTTTATGGGGTCGGAAACGTCTCCTTCACTGCGTTGCAAACTTCTGACTGAAATTATAATACCCTGCAAGGGTATAAAAAGGGACTTAAACCGTTGATCTTCTAAACAAAAATATCCTTTAATAGCTTGAATAAATTATTATTAATTATAATTTTTATTGAAATTATCCCATGAATTCAGATGCATAAATAATTCACAAACAAGATTTATTTATAGAAACATTTCACCTACATAAAAAGTGCACTTAAAATGATATATTAATTTTAAAAGTGCTTCGAATTTGAATTTATATATCTGGAAAATACAAGTGTAGTATATTTATAGTTTGTTGAAATGCATAAAATCCATCAACCAGACCAAGGCATATTAAAGCATTAATCATTCCATGAATGAGGTTGACAAGAAATAAATATAAATATATATTAATATATTATACATATTCAATATATATTATATATCCTAAAATCAACATATTCTTCTCTATTCCTCAGACCATTGGCGTGGTTTCGGTATTCTTCATCTGCATTTCGATCCTGTCGTTCTGTTTGAAGACCCATCCCGACATGCGGGTGCCCATCGTCAAGAATGTGACGGTGCGAACGGCGAATGGCAGTGCTGCCTGGTTTTTGGACAAAACACAGACCAATGCCCACATAGCCTTCTTTTATATAGAATGCGTGTGCAATGCCTGGTTTACCTTTGAGATACTGGTAAGGGATCTCAACCTTAAGAAACTTAAACCCATATCTAAACATGTCATCTCCCTCCCCAGGTGCGCTTTATCTCATCGCCAAACAAGTGGGAGTTCATCAAGTCATCTGTTAACATCATAGACTACATAGCGACGCTTAGTTTTTATATCGATCTAGTGCTTCAGCGGTTCGCATCGCATTTGGAGAACGCTGACATCCTCGAGTTCTTCTCGATCATCCGCATCATGCGTCTGTTCAAGCTGACGCGCCACTCGTCCGGCCTGAAGATCCTCATCCAGACGTTCCGCGCCTCGGCCAAGGAGCTAACCCTGCTGGTCTTCTTCCTCGTCCTGGGCATCGTGATCTTTGCCAGTTTGGTCTACTATGCGGAACGCATCCAGCCGAATCCGCACAATGACTTCAACAGCATACCGCTAGGCCTGTGGTGGGCTTTGGTCACCATGACCACCGTCGGCTATGGCGACATGGCGCCCAAAACCTACATCGGCATGTTTGTGGGCGCCCTATGCGCCCTGGCCGGTGTATTAACCATTGCACTGCCAGTGCCCGTCATCGTCAGCAACTTTGCCATGTACTACTCGCACACGCAGGCCAGGGCCAAACTGCCAAAGAAGCGGAGACGAGTGCTTCCCGTCGAGCAGCCGCGGCCGCCACGACTGCCAGGTAAAACAGTCTTAATCTTTAAGAATATAAATTTATAAAGAATAATTTGTTATAAAATCTCTAAAGGTGCCCCTGGCGGCGGCGGGGTCAGTGGCTGTGGCACACCGGGCTCTGGCCCTCACTCCGGTCCCATGGGCTCCGGCGGAACTGGACCACGTCGCATGAACAATAAAACCAAGGACCTGGTCAGCCCCAAGTCTGGTGAGTTCCTACTCAATAAAGTCTGTTCCACGATCCAAGCAAGCCACCAACAAAAAAAGTACAAGAAAAACTACAAAACGAATTCGAGCTGCGCTTCAAAAAGGCACCCAGTTATACATTTATCACTAAAAGTACAGCAAAACCAGGACTTAACCGAGCCCTAGTATATATGCCTAACCTGTCTCTAAAAGCTTGCACAGCTCGCACAGCCCCAAAAGTCCGAGTTGTATGGATTAAGTTGGCACACAAAAACCCAGTAAAAATAACTACTCGTTATCCTTTGTGCCGTCTCGCTCTCAGTTTTATTGACACAACGAAGATGAGTTACAACTTTGGTCCCGTAACGATTAATAAAGATCTTGGGTGCGCTTTTCCCCTCCGGCTATACTATATATATCCATAATTTACCATGTCATTCGTCGTGTGTACGTGTATATATGTACTCTATGTAATTACCATGCATTTAAGGCTTCTTTATTCATAATCGGTTCATACTCGATTCATACTCGATTCATTTAATTCGAGCTTAGCTTTCATTTCCCGCAATTGCATACGAGAGGGGACTGGAGTGATGATGGGGTATTCGGAGAGGAATTTCTAAGGTTTATCTGTCATCAGTTCCTAAATTCCTCTTCGAATTACCCATCTTCAGACTCAAAGCTCCAGCCATAAAGCCCATCATATAAATACCAGACCTCGACTTCCTCCCAAAACACCCATCGAAGGCATTTCTGTATATTCAAGTCATCGATCGAACTTCAATCAGTTTAGGATCTACCTTCAAAGTACAAGAATCTGTATGGTACCAATTCATTTATATATATATATATATACTCTATAATAAGCTATCTCTACAACGATTACGATATCCAGATACGAGACTCTATATATTTTTTGATTTTACTCCTTCGTTTTACCTTAATATAATTTGTTTTTTCATTGATGAAACGATCCAATCCAAACCCCCCTACAAATCTTGTGTAAATAGATGAATATACAACCATGATTGGCAAACCGCGCGACGGCAAAAAGAGCAGGCTGCTCTAAGCCATAAAACACAACGACATCTCAGCAACATCGACAGCAGCAACATAACCAGAATGAAGAACCAATAGTGTAACCAACTTCCCCCAGAAAGAAATTTCCAGGCTTAGAACCTTTCAACTTATATAAGAATCTGGCAAACTGATCTATGAGCAAGCGAAGGGAGAACAGGACTGGATAGCAGAACAGAGCGAGAGAGATCTGAGGATCACAGATCACAGATCCCAGATGGAGGAGCCTGTGGTACGTTGGATCGAAAGCTCACACACACTCCTGGATGCCACATACCCACAGATATGATTATGAATATGAGTTACTATGCCGGCGACGTCTGCTACTGCTATCTACTGTTACTACTACCACTCCAACAACCTGCTATATAATCGTATATATACTCAACAATATGTAATTTTCTACGTGTTTTCTACTCTCTCTATATATATATTTCTCCACCTATCTTTACCTAAATAATATTACATATGCTAAATAGATATATATTACCATATATATCGTGTACGTGTTGTTCTTCAGTTCTGGCTCGTTCGTTTCTTCGTTACCAGTGTGTATTCTCTCTCTCTATCTCTCTCTCTTGTTGTGTGTGCGTGTGTAATTTTGTGATTTTTTTATGGTTTTTAGTCTCAACCCAAATCGGAGGACCCTTCCCTTAGCTGTTAATTATCAAAGAAGACAACGTTGTATTTGTATTATCTCGAACTCTTGTATTTCAGATATGGCCTTCAGTTTCGACTAAAAGACAGAAAGATATTTTGTAATTTCTCAAGACACCACAAAAATATATAAGAACATAAAACTCGACCAGAAAAAAATCGAAAAGAACGAAACGAAAAATCAAAAATGAATGAAAAACCTCAGTAAATGTAAAGAAATAAACCCAAGAAAGACCTTCATCTATCATGCTACCTAACATCGTAAGAAAACCAAACCTCGGAGAATCTCTGCTGGGCGGGTGTGTGTTTTGGTTTAAAAACCACATTTTTAACCCCCTCTTAAACCCCCACCCCCCCTAAAAATAAACTTTAAAACTGTCGCTCTCTTCCGAATCCAAAAATCCCCCTACTAAAAAGTGTCAACTAGTTGAAAATATAGTTTGTAGCGCCAAGCAGAAAGCCCTAGCCCCCGAAACCGACTTTATATTATCTAAAACTATATATGTGCTGCATGCTGCATGTGTTATTTACCTGGACTTGAGCCTGGAATCTTAGAGAGCGTGTTTGATTTGATTTGATTCCCTAGATGTTAACTTAATATATGTCATGTGTGTGTGAGTTGTTGTGTTCGTGTTCGTGTTCGTGCTACACCCTTCCCAGGAAACACCCACCGCCACCTCGTATACCGTATATATATGTATCGTAGTAACCAAGTGCACCCAGTAATTACTATCAGCAAAGCCTGAACCCAAAGCCCTCCTAAAACTTAAAACTTAAAACGTAAAACTTAAAACCTGCCAAGACAAAATTCAAGTTAAACGAATTTGGTAACTAACCGAAAGTTTCATGAAAATAATATTTACCTTTCTCTCTCTCTCTCTCTTTCTTCTTCTTTTTCTTTCTCTGTTTTCCGCCACCACACCACTTCCTGGACTACTCCTCCCACAACTCCTCTACTATATATATATGTCTATCTATTGTTTCCGGCTATATAACTCCACTTCCTGTACCCACTTCCTGTAACCAAACCGAAACCCGACAACCGATAATCTCTTTCTGTTCTTCCGTGTTCTGTGCGGGGTTAAAAACAAAAAGTTGCTCAACTTTTCGCAGGTCCTTTGGGCGCTAGCATTGTGGCCATGAGTCCCAGGACAATGCTGGATCTCAATCCAGCCTTGGCAATGGGCAAGCCAGCGTTCCAGCCGCGTATACCCACGCCACTGGCCGCCACACCGCCACCGCATCAGGCAGGAGGAGAAACGGGAGGAGGAGGAGGAGGAGTAGGAGTAGGAGTTGCAGGAGCCGCCGCTCCTCCTCCTCCGATACCCAGCATTGCCGTCTCCACCACGGCCAGTGTGGGCAAGGACTCGGGCGTTTCTACAACCACCACAACGGCGACCACGAACAGCGGCCTGGAGACCAGCAAGAAGGCCTTCCTCTAATCTCAGCAAGAAGGAGTGAAAGCGGGCAGCCAAGACTCAAAGCCACCTGATATCTATACCCTATATTATCCCCCATAATCATCACCCGGAAATAAGCAATATCTCGATTCGATATCATATAGCCTTCGCATACGTATAAGGAGTACTTCAGAGATGGCATAAGGATCCAAAACTGATACCTATCATTGATCGGAGATCGTCCTTGTTTTGTTTGGTTCTCTATTGAAATGAATATCATATATTCGCCCAGGAAAAGGTAAAGGTATCAATTTGTTTCAAGCTGGCAGAAATATAACAAAGTGGAAGAAATAGATATGATATATTCAACTTTTAATGTCTTTAGATACAGCCACTTAATGACTTGATTTACTGGCTCTTCAAAGGTTGTTTCTTTTCTACTTATAAAATGTATAACTAAGGCTTTTAAGGTTATTATTAATTAATTTATAAGTTCAACTAAACTGTATGTCATATCAGCGAGAAGCAATATCAAGGGAGAAACCTATGTTTTCAATTACATTTCATAGCTAATTTTTGTGACATCATATCAGTATATATTTCATACAATTCCCCCTTTAGAGGATCCAGGGCCATCTCTGATCATAACTTTGTGTTGACCATATCACACACGATCGAAACCTATCAATATCGAACGCCTAAAACATAACCCTAGCTAAAATATAGATAATCCAACATGGCTTTTACCAAGACAGATGTTTTTAAACCATATACGAGTATATATACATACATATTTACCTTTTGCAAGCTTACTAACGAACCCGTTTTTTACATTAAATAGTTAATAATAAATCGCTGAAGAATGTACATAATCCTAGGATGCTTTATACTCGGTTTGCCAGTTCCTTATGCGTTGTGTAAAGACTCTAAAGCTTTAATTTAATATATAGATATATATAAATGTACCTATATATATACATGAATTACTTGTAAAATGGGAAAGGAAACTCCAAACAGAAGCTTTACCAGTTGAGGTTTTGCCTAATTGAAAACAGAAATCAATCGAAAAACAACTCACACACGCACACCCTTGGCTCTGAAGTCTGTTTAACAATTCACATGTTGACTTTAACTTTTCTGGCGAACTTAACAAAACAGCAAAACAACAAAAATTACATAGGTAAATAAAATAAATTAAGGAAGGTGCACAGGAAAGTGGAAGAAAACAAACAACATTTCGCGCTCATCACACACACTTGGATTCTGGGCTGAGCTTCTTCTAGATTCTTCTCCTTTGAACAACCAAAGTTGGCCCACGTATCAGGCTAAGAGGGAAGCGGAAAAATTAAAAAAATTTAAGAATTCCTACCGCTTTCAAAGGTAAATAATTTATATAGGCAACCAGGAGGCAGTTCCTTTTCCCCTTAAAGTTAATTTAAATTTGCTAAAAAGTTTACCAAACTGCTGCTGGGGTTCCCCCTTCATTTACCCAATTCTCTTGTACATTTTGAATATAAATACGTTACATATATCTATCAGCAAGCATACACATATTTGTAAGAATAAACATGATACTTACTAAGAGCAAGCAAAGGAAAAAGGTAATAAGTAAATAAATAAAAGGCGGCAAAACTTAAGCAACATTTTGGATCGAAGAATGGGCAACAAATAAACGAAAAATAAAAAGCAAGCAAACAAACAAAAATTTGTTAAGTTTTTACAATGAACAAAGGAGCGTTAATAAGAACTAAATTAATATTACAAATATTATACTTGCAAGCTATATAGGAAATGGATACAAACAATTGTTTATATCGTTTTTCATTTAACATTTTCTCGCTATGATTTCAAGAGGAAAAGCTGTTTTTTAAATTGTATAGTTAAGCAAATTGTATACTATTTGAACTAAAACGGAAACAAACCCAAAAACAAACGAAATTGTTCTCTCAATAATTCATGAACAACAAACAAATTAAACTAATTATATATACATTTATATATATATACATCTATATATATATGAAATAAAAACAAAAAACAATATAAAAAGAAATGCAATAAAGAAATCTATTGAACACCAAACCCGAGGCTTGGCCAATTTTATTGAGGGGAAAAACAAATATGGAAATGTTACCTTAGGAGTTAGATAAACAATAAAAATATAATATTAGCAGACGTAGGGAAATTAATTATGAAGTAAAATATTTTATATATAACAAATTAACAAACTAAATTCATTAATTACAAATTTTTTTTTCATAGTTACATAATTACACGAACTAAGCACTAGATAAATTTTTACTCCGAAAAGTGATGACTCGGCACAAATCACAGTGCAAATATCTCGCCCTTCCCATTTTGAATACCAGGCGCCCAGAAAACAGCAGTGGGCAGATGCTAAAGAAATATATTTCAGCCTACAGCAACAGTTTTAATTTGTCTCAGAACCGATAAGCCTTTTTAAGCCCAATATCCGAACTTCCTTGGCAAGACTTCATTTGGTTTGCAATTTTTATACCCTTGCAGGGTATTATAATTTCAGTCAGAAGTTTGCAACGCAGTAAAGGAGACGTTTCCGACCCTATAAAGTATATATATTCTTGATCAGCATCAACAGGGAAATCTTTCTAGATATGTCAGGAAGAAATCGTTTTTTTGGCCATTTTTGCAAAATTTTATAAGGGGTTACATCATTAAAATTTTTGATTTTGATAAAAAGTTGAATTTTCAAAATTTTTAAATGAATGCAGATTTATTAACTGTAGAAAATCTAGCACAGAACAGTTTTCCGATTTGAAATTAATGCTCTTTTGGCCGAGTTATGATATTTTTAATTTAAAAAAAATCAAGAAGTTTTTTTATATAAAAAATCAGATTTTATAATACAAAATAATATTTTTCTAAGTCAAGGAATCATTTCCGACCCCATAAACCATATATATTCTTGATCAGCATCAACAGGCGCTTCTTTCTAGCTTTGTTCGGAAGAAATTTATTTTTTAGCCATTTTTGTAAAAAAATGTAAGGGGTTATATCATTAAAATTAAAAAAAATAGCCAAAAATTTTGATTTCTTAAAATTTTAAATTTGGTATGCAGTTTTCTTAAATTAATAAAAACTAACACAAAACTGCTTTTCGAATCGAAATGAATGCATTTTTGGCTTAGTTATGATATATTTTAATTGTTACCTGCAAGGGTATACAAACTTTGACTGGCCAAAGTTAGCTTTCTTTCTTTTTAAAAGTAATATTCTTTTTAAAATTCTTTATTTATAATCAAACTGATTTTATTTATTATTATTATTTGATGCCTCGCTTTGTGTTAAAAATCTACAATTTATTTAATTTTCTGTATTGAAATTCCATTAAAATAAAATGGGTAAATGGTAAATGGTAAAACCTGGTGGCACGGTGTCTGGGCGCTTTGGGAACCACTTTATGGCCACTTTCGGCATTTGTTTCGATTTCATTACCAACAAAAAAGTGCTATTGCAATAACACAGCTCAACACGCTTAGCTCCCAGCTCTGGAGGCCGTTTGGCAAATAAACCGACAAACAAAAGGCAACAACAAAATGGAAAAAGCTACATTTTGGACCCTCAGGGGCCTGACCTTCAACACTCTGGCATAAAGACCCAGATAAAGCAGGGCAGGGGAAGGAAGGTAACCCAACCGAGTGTAAATCTCGACTCACCTCTTTTTGGGCCTTTTGGCGATGGTCCAATAAAGCGCTTCATTAACCAGAGACTACTACTAACCCCCCTGTGTGCAACTCACCCACCCCGCCACCCCGCAAATAAAAGAGCACAGAGTCCCTCGACCTATCTCTATTCATCCAAAAAACCAAAGCTATTCCGGACTCGCCTCAATCAACAGTTGGTTCCGGGCTGATTTCTCAGGGTGGTGGTGGTGTTGTTTTTTTTAGAAGAAGAGCACCAAGATTTTTGTATTTTTTTCACTGTCTCCCAAAGCATCAGTTGGTTGACAGTCTCCGGGTGAACTAATAATCCATGAAATTTCAATTACAAGTCAAAATTTAACGCGAGCAGTCTCTCCACGGCACTCGCTCTTTTGACACATGAAGAAAAATGTTGCTACTTTGTATGGTATATAATTAATTTATTTAACATTTTTATTTATAAATTATTTCATATTTGACACATTTTTTTTAAATATATTAAATATATAATACAGATAATAATTTGCGTAGGTCCCATTATTTTACATTTGAGAGAATCTTCCAGCTCCGAGGGTTCAACAGTATCTGGAAAAAAAAATAGTTTTTCGGTTAAAACCTTTCGTTATTAATAATTTAAATAAATTAATAACGCATTGTAAACTATATAGTATCCTATTTTTATAATAATATTGCTTTGAATTTTCTCTCAGTGCACTCATTGCTCTCTAGTGTAAGTTGTAATCATTGAGAGCTTTTTTGTTTTTGTTTCCTACGCTCCCCCCTGGAAAAACATGGTTACTATAGGTGTATATATAGATATGTTTTTTGTTTGCCGACTATTTGCAGAGTTTTCCAGTTTTCGGTGAGTTTTCCTTTACTTTCCTTTCCTTTAAAAGCTCGCTCACCGACTCTCTCGTTGGGAATTTTCTCAATGAAGCTCGCTCTCTTCGGCAGCCGCTGCTCTTACTCGCTTGGCTATTTCGGCTATTTTGCATTGCCTTTCCCGTAGAAAGTGACGACGCTCTCCAAGAGCGGCGTGTAAAGCGGTGTAGTGGGTGTGGGAAAGGGGGGTACTGCCTGCCGGTCTGGTCTCTTTTATGGCCAAAATGTGTGTTTTTCTGGCAGCGCGGATTCAGTTGAATTTTGACTGCCCGACGAGCAAGTCTTCGCTGCTTTTTCTCTCGTCCGCGACCGCGTCCGTTGCACGGTCTCTTTTCTCCGCTTTTCCCAAGTGCTCAATGTGACAATTTTCGCCCACAATTGTCCCCGCAAAAAAAGTCACAAATTTACAAAATAAAAATAATAAAAAAACATAAAACAGCAGTCGTGCAAAGAAATAAATATACAAAAATATATATAATAAATTCCTGTGTCAAGCAGCGACGGCAGCGGCGCAATGCTGCCGCTTCCGTGCAACCGCCGCCAACTTTAGGTTCGTTTGCTGGATTTTCCTATTTTGAATATTAAAAGCCAAAAGTGCGAGGACAGGCGGACGTTCAATAGCCAAAATGACGCTGACAGTTTTCCACGACCCCCAGGTACCAGTACCGTTCCCCGACGCTCCTCAGGTTTTCCTTTGGCAGCGATTAAGACCAGTCAAAGTTGTTGGCCCGGCCCGTTGCCTGGCTACGTTTACAAGAGCCAAGAGATGCCGGAGAGATGCCATGCATTATACATAAGCTCTAGCAGTGAGAGGTTTGCACCGTTAAAAAAATGTTTCATCAATTATTTACCACTTTTCATGCCACAAAAAGAGTTTTAAAATGTGGCACCTTTAAGTTGGGTATTTTAAGGAAAGCTAAAGTTAATTAGGTTAAATTATTTTTCTAAAAAAAAGTATGAAATAGGACAGTTCTTCAATATGCCAGAAACTGGAATTAGTTTCTACTTTTTCTTTATAAAAACAGTATTTTAATTGTTTATATTAATATACAATTAATTAATAAATGCTATAGAACATTTTTTGGGACTTATTATTAATTTTTTGAGCAGACAAATGTATAAATTATTGACCTTAAG